CACACATTTTTTACCTATATATATATACACTAGACAAAATTGCTAACACACCACTTATTATTCTTATTTGTGAATTGATCATTTTCCTGATTGGTACTAATATATAAAATATGCCCTCTTTTCCAAAACAGTTGGATTGACAAATGTCTTGGTGTCATGTCAAGATCCTTAAAGGACCTTCTTGTCCGAAAACCAATTTCCTGACGTGCACTGCGCACCGTTTTTGCCAAGATATGAAGTTGGTGATTACCGATGGTGGTCCGTGAGGTTGCGATGGGAGCAGTCTCCCACTTAAAAATCAAATGATATATCCTGATTGACTACCATATCGCTTAGTAGTCATTCAGTGCCTTGGTGTCCCAACCAAAACCACCCAACTTCCGGTTGGCCCAATTTTGTGGACCAATCTTGAAGTTATTGTGTGGTGCTTACTTAATGCCGTCGCTAACTATTGTAAACATTTTTGTGATTGTTTATTCATTTTCAACAATTTTTCATCAGAGAAATGCATAATCTTTTAATTGTTTTAATTTTTCACGAATTTCTTCAAAGGAACCCACTGCAGACACCATACTGGCTGCCTTAGCACACTCTTCTAGAGTGAAACACCGCATACGGTGTAACTTTTTTTCTGAGTTTTTAATTAGTACAAACATAAAGAACACAACGACAAAGAAAAATATAGAAATTTATTCCACCAAAAAAGTATGGACATGATTTTAATGTTTTCTATGAAGTGGTTATGCTTCAGTAAACATTGTTGTTATTTATCAGTTAAAACATTTAAATGTCTCATTTTTAATTAAAGTAACATAATTATATATCAAAAACATCATAAACAAGTTTTGAAAAGAAAAATGTTCATTTATTTAGGTGGTGCGTTAGCAATTTTGTCTAGTGTATATATATATATATAGAGAGAGAGAGAGAGAGAGAGAGTTATGAAATAATGGGAAGGCAAATAAGCTAGAATAATTTATTTTCTGTTTTTCTTGACTGTACTGTGGGTTTTTGAATAATAATTTTGTAATCCTCCTCTTAAATTGTGTACCGCCCATTTGTGTTTAGTTAGCATTTTAAATGTCAATTCCAAGTACTTAAATGTAGAAGTATATGCATAATTTTCCATAGCATCTATGGTATGTTAGGGTGTACTTAATTAAGATAAATGGAGAAATGATAGAGTTGTGTCCCTTGTTTGAGCTTTGGGCAGTATGGGGTGATTGATCACTCGACTGTGTTGTCATTACACTGTACAGAAGTGCCAGGAGATTGTTTTGAGTTGTCTATGTGTGTAGAGGTCTACCACAATGTAATTACTGGAGGTAAGAGTGGTTGATTAAGCAGAATACACTCAATTAGAATATATGACATAAATAGCTTTTTGTAACGCATAAAACATCATTATGTGAAAGGTTTTTTTTGGAAGAAATTTGGAAGTGTGATGTAAAAAATCCTTTTAATTATTGTAGGATACTTTTCAGAAAGCTTCTCTGAAACTGAGAAAATATACACTTAACATTTTATTATCTGAATTTCAACGGGGCTGTGAATGTATTTTCCCTGCATGATATTGCAGGAAATAGCAGAAATGTAATTTCATTGTTTCCTGACTTGCCTCAGGTGCTTACGAACAAAAATCACATTTGCTCTTTTTTAACCAATCAATACAAACTAGAGATTTATATCAGAAACTTCTGGTTTCATGTTTTTCTGTTCAGTTTTTTTTTTATTTTCTTGTAATTGCATTTTTTAAATGTGATAAATGCTGGCAGAACAAAATGACACAATAGATTCCTCTAGGTTAATGTGGCCTCCTTTTGAATGTTCTCATTACTCTAATAATGTTTTCTTTAGTTATTTCTTTGTTATAAATATTTAAACACAGAAATAAGATTTACAGATTGCACAGACTGTCATTTCCTTACTTTCTACCTTAAATTGAAAATCTGTCCTAGGGTCTAAACAGTCTATATGAAGAATCCTGTCCATGTATCTGTCAATCGTATCCAAATAAGACTGCATAAACTGTCTTAATCCAGGGCAATATTCTTGAGTATAATGTATTTTTTGTGTAATAACTATATTCACAATTACACAATTGAACATTATAAATGAAATTGGATTTTGCCCACCGACTAATGTAATTTCGTCTCTTTACAGGCTTAAGAGAGATGTCTTGAATGCTTGGGAACAGAGGAGGATATCCACATGTCGTGGTCATTAGTATGCTGTTATGTCACAGAGTACCTCACCTGATCAGGTAAGATACAGGTAAAAATTACAGGTGTATCTCTAGGTTACATTGCATGACAAATTCATGTATGTTAACACTTTGAAAGATGTCCGGTAGATTAACCCATAGATTAATGTTGAAATCTTCACTGGAGGTGAGGTTACATGCATAGATAAATATATTATTTAGGTTACATTCCATATAAATTAAGTATAATTTATTAAATCATGTCAACCAACAGAACAGAGGATTCATATTCAAAAATATTGATACATTAATGTGTTTGCAAAAATATCTGAAAAAGAATATATATTCCATGAAATGTTTAAAAATTGAAAATTCTATGATTTTAATGGAGACAGTTTTAGAATTTTTCAATGTTTTAAGATTCATAGATCTGTATACAAGTATACTGTAATATATAAAAAATTTGCATTTTGAAAAAAATATTTATATATGCACTTGAGCTTTAGTAGAAAATTGGAGTTATCAATAAACTGACATTGAATATATAGAAAATATTTAGTGTGATTTATTTAATTAAAATATGGTTATATAGCCACTGGAGAATCATTTCTGACAAAAATTGAAAATGTTCAAAGAAATGAGAAATGTGAAAATATTTAGTGGACACTAGAAATTTCAGTATTAAATCATATAAAGTGAGTTCTCTCAGCTCTTACTTTCCTGGGGACACTTCAACAACAATCAACTAAAGTTTATGTAGAAGGATTGAATTTTGTTATATCTTACTCTTTAAATTTGCAATGGTTAATATAGAAAAACAGGATTCATGTTGATTCAATAAATCAATATTATCAAATTTAAGTGTAGTTTTTAACATATCATTTCCATTTCCCTTGCAAACTATTGGCATAGAAAGGGTTTCTCTGTGAAATATCTACTGGGAGGCATATTATGAAGGAATTGCGTAAATATTGACACAGACCAATACTCTATAGTTATCTTACTGGAATCCCCCCAGATCTATGTCCTATCATTTTATCTGACACTCAATGTGGGGCCTTCCGTCTACGGCATCAGATGTACCTGTTTTATTGGATTCTATTCATAGTTTATTAATGTCTCAAAATGGTCTTAGATATTTACATTAATTGAGATGCAAAAACCACAATTATTCATGGATCTTGATAAGACTGTACTGAATTTTTATGTTGGGAATTTAAAAAAAAAAATTGTACATATAGAACAATGGAGCTAACTAAATATTAAAGGATGGATGTTAAGGTTTGTATTTGTATGTAATTAATTATTCTTCATCACATGAAATAATTATTGGAAGTACTTTAACTGATTCAAATGGAATGTTACATTTTACCAGTAAAACGTTTGATTTAAAAATGTGAAGTGCTTTTTGCAAGGAATTTAAAAGTAAGCATTAACAGATACATTCAACTTGAGAAAATCAATATAAAATTGAAAGCTAGCGAAGAGCAAGGTCAGGTTTTGAATTAAAAAATTCCATTCCTAATCCAAGAGTCATTTAAATCAGGTGTAACAACTACCGTAATTTATTTTTCTTAATAGATGTAACAGATAAGTATGTGTCACCTGTAAAAGATCTAGAACAAGACAGAATATTTCTACTTGAAATCTCAAATGTGTCATATACGGTACATTAAGTACTAATAAATTGTATATGTCTTGGCATTTGTACACCAATTGTCCGCAAGGTTTTTATGGCACAGTCAAACTCATTAATGTTGATGACTTGCATTCTGTTTTTTTTTTTAAGTGTGTGCTAAAAATTAACAGATCTATCAGACTTTACAAGATAGATTTTAGATGCTAAAGCTGATGTTAAGATCCTTATTTTTAGATCTTTTAACACTTAATTCGAGACATATATTAGGCAGATTTGTTAGCATATCAAATACAATAGAAAGGATGGAAAGGATTCTTCCTCAGAAATTTACTAGCCTATACTCATCTCTACAAAGGTTGTTAATAGGAAACGTCTAGATAGTTTGTGTTGGTGGACTCTGTCTGTAAACGTTTTTAGAGTGACAGGTATATATTATTTTACCTGTCTGTATAGGTCATAGTCCAGTTACTATGTAGATTGATGTACATCTGTCTATAAATAGAATGGCCTTTTGTCTCATCATTGCACTGAAACCTATGACAGACATGAGGACGAACATGCATTAATAATAGCATAATTAAATGAATTTGTGCCAGTGGTGCCATGTACATGTATGTGTTGACATGAAATGAACAAGTGCTTGCACTGAGTTTTGTCAACAGATCGTATTCCATTCACCTGAATAGTGGTTAGCATTACTTCAGTGATTTTGGAAATGAAAGACAAAAGAAGCAGGAATCATGGAAGGCTTTCTTGGGCGATCTTTTTAATTCATACACAGTAAAGCAATATGAGCTTCACTTTTGTTTCCCCCTTGCATTATTTACCAAAGTAAACATGCTTGAACAAATTTCCGAGTTGTTTTATTATTAAGCAATGCATGTATAATTTTACCACAAAGGTTTGACCAAACAAATGATTTTCCAATTATACTGTGTAAAAGGATGATTTTATTCACCAAATACATGTAATCAATCCCAAGATATCTAGTATTTAGTGAAATGTTTAGTACTTGACCAGCTAGAGAAGAGTTTGTTGTTATACCACTGGAATGTGTGCTAGAAGTTACTTTGAAACCATAAAAACTTTGTGAACTACCTAGAACATTTTCCAAATTTGTATGAATTAATACTGTTGTGATAAATGGAGCATTAGATTTTACTGAGGGATTCAATGGCTAATGTACCAGTAGCTCTGATTAAGGCTGTGAACAGTGCCCTCCAAGAAGGAAAGTCCCTTACGTGGAGGGTCCATGGAGGTGACGATAAGATCATGATGAACATCATGTGGACTCGGACCTCTGTCAATAAGAAATCTCTCACAGTTAGACCGGTCAAACCACTGCTAGTGGTATGGTGTTATGTTGATTAGAACTGCAATAAGATGTGAATGCCATATATTCTTTTAAAATAATTTAATTTGATATTTCAATTTAGAAGTGACTGATATTTGAATGCTTACAGATGCTTGGCAGTGTTCATTAAGGATGTGTTATTTTATGAATCAGATGCACTGAAATGAATCTAAAGATAATTTAATACATAATATTTTTTAATGCTTTTTTTCCAGGCATCTTCTTCCACTGACTCTAGGTCTGATGATAGCTTTAGTGTAAAGGATCCTTCCACTGCTCTTACATCTGTACCTAAAGAGGGGCGTCGCCAGCTTCCACCAATACCTAGTCCTGACACACAACTTGCCATGGCATCTGAAATCAAACAGAGGCAGAATGCCATGCCAAAAAGTGGTGGATCTAATGGGCATGGGCAGCTATTTACCGAGTACAAACTCATGGCTGAGTAGTAAGTAGTTTGGCCTTACCATCATTTATAAAGAACCACGCATGCTAACTTTCAATTTCCGTCTACATTTTACACCCATGTAATTCAGTGTAGATGGCAGTTTGGCCATTAAAACTTGATTGAATGCAAAGAAGAGTTCATTATTAATTGATTGATAATTTTAAAACCAGTGTCAACATCCCCCCCCCCCCCCAGAACAACAAAACTTGCATGAATTGTGAAATAAATTCTAAAATCCCATAAAGAGGAATTTTTGTTGTTGCATGGGGGATGTTTTAAAAAATTATTTTCTGTTTTCTGTTGATTTTTATTGTGAAAAATGCAATTTTTACCAAAATTAAAGAGTTATCCATCTTTGTTTTCCCATATAATTTAAGTTTCATGAAAATTCACATAAATATCTATATGAATATGAGAAAATTATTCAGATATATTAACTTTTGAAATCTGACTTGGAGGTAGGAGACGGAACTTTATTCTTTCCCAGTTCTTAAGAAATTCAATTGCTAAGAGACTTAAAAATAAGATATTTTCTTTTATCTCCAGATTAAGTATTCATCTAAACTGATCTGGTATTTCCGATTTGTTTCTTCTATATTGTGTGCCTTAATATTTATGCCTCTTTTTACAGTAACTTATTGATGTCACACAAAGTCCCTGGCTGTTATGCAATACCTTCTGCCCTGACACCACTTAGTGAGTAAAAATTAATGTTGTTGTAAATATATCTTTATTTTTCATAAAAGTAGTAATGTTATAATGTTATAAAAGATGATTAATGATTTGTATGAAAATGAAAGATAAATATTGTTAATTATAGAGAAGTAAATGTCATGTTCTTACATGTAGGTTGATACATGTAATGTTGTAAGATTTTATCTTCTTATAGATATTCTGTATTTATTATCCTTTTCAGTTTGGCATGGGGTGTTGTTCATCAGACAGGGAATGTATCAAGAGGGAGTTTTTAGATTTATTCTAACCATTCCTGAGAATTTCCCTGATGGAGATTGTCCTGTAAGTTGTTCCAACATAATGGTACATGTATTCAAGAGAAAATTGAACAGTTTTTAAAATGAGAAATATTTTATCCTATGTTCAGTTTTCCTAGATAACTATCCTACAGTGAACATATTGACAACGTTATATGTACATGAAGGTGTAAATTGAAGAAAATTTCATAATGAATATTTTAAACATTGCATTTTTATACCCCCCGCAAACGAAGTTTAGGGGGGGTATATTGGAATCAGCTTGTCCGTCTGTCTGTCCGTCTGTCTGTAGACGAGATTTTGTCCGGACCATTTCTTGGAAACTGTTGCAAGGATTTGTCTGAAAATTTGTACACTTATTCTTTGCCATATGAAGGTGTGCACCTGGTATTTTCATCATGATTGGATAATTTTTTTGCATTTTACAGGTGTTTTTTTCAGTTTTAGCTCACCTGAGCTGAAAGCTCAAGTGAGCTTTTCTGATCACCCGTTGTCCGTCGTCCGTCCGTCCGTCCGTCTGTCCGTCCGTCTGTCCGTCCGTCTGTAAACTTTTCATATTTTCGACTTCTTCTCAAGAACCACTGAGCCAATTTTAACCAAACTTGGTACAAAGCAACCTTGGGTAAAGGGGAGTTTAAATTGTTACAAGCTTATCTTTTAAAAAAGATGGGTGAGCTAGCGCGTTAGCCATCATAAAACACAGAAGTAGATATCTGAACCGTTTGTTAAGTTGCTGAATCGATTAATTATTAATAGGCGCAGTGGTGCACTGGGGTGGTGTAAGGTAGGGGGAGGGGGGGTCTCAATTCAGAATGAATGGTGAAAGTGGGCTTCACATTGGCGATGGCATAAGTCATTAACTGTGCTTTAAGCATTCTGTAGCTTACTGTTATTTCAATTTTGAGGTGAAATAAAAGAGATCAGTAGAACCTAGGTATGGGCACCTAGTTTAAAATTATCCAGTGTAGTACTGTTTTGTAGCAATCGCATCTTCTCGGGTCTTTCCGGTAACATATACAATCTGATTAAAATCAGATCCTTTGATCCGCTCACATAGATCGCTGCACAAGGCCAAGATTTTAATCAGGTTGGCAACATATATATCCGAGATTGTTTGCCGAGCTTGCAAGAAAGAAGTTAAGAAATACTTGGTTAAGGTTTTAGTATTCTTTTAGAATTAACCGATCTCTTCAGTCTTGGCATTATAAGACCTAAGTTTAACTGTTACTTTTTTAACATTTGTATACAGCTTAGACAACAAAGCACAAAACTTCAGATCATATGTATTTTCAGATAATTAAACGAAATTTACATGGTAGTTTATCTACAGTTGTGTTCCCAGAATGCCCTACGGTGAAGTCGAGCATGCGTATTCCAGGAAAATAGACTAACGTAGTTGCTAGCGCTCGAGAGCGCTAGCAAAAATGAAGGGCCAAGTCCCCTTCAAAGGGGAGATAATCAAGAAAATACAAAAATTGGGTGGGGTCATTAAAAAATCTTCTTCTCAAGAACCACTGGGCCAGAAAAGCTGAAACTTACTTGGAAGCATGCTGGGGAAGTGTAGATTCTAAATTGTTCAAATCATGACCCCCGGGGGTAGGGCGGGGCCACAATAGGGAATCCAAGTTTTACCTTGAAATATATAAGAAAAATCTTTAAAAATCTTCTTCTCAAGAACCACTGGGCCAGAAAAGCTGAAACTTATGTGGAAGCATGCTGGGGTAGTGTAGATTCTAAATTGTTCAAATCATGACACCCCGGGGGTAGGGCGGGGCCACAATAGGGAATCCAAGTTTTACATTGAAATATATAGGAAAAATCTTTAAAAATCTTCTTCTCAAGAACCACTGAACCTGAAAAGCTGAAACTTATGTGGAAGCATGCTGGGGTAGTGTAGATTCTAAATTGTTCAAATCATGACCCCCGGGGGTAGGGCGGGGCCACAATAGGGAATCCAAGTTTTACATTGAAATATATAGGAAAAATCTTTAAAAATCTTCTTCTCAAGAACCACTGGGCCTGAAAAGCTGAAACTTATGTGGAAGCATGCTGGGGTAGTGTAGATTCTAAATTGTTCAAATCATGACCCCCGGGGGTAGGGCGGGGCCACAATAGGGAATCCAAGTTTTACATTGAAATATATAGGAAAAATCTTTAAAAATCTTCTTCTCAAGAACCACTGGGCCAGAAAAGCTGAAACTTATGTGGAAGCATGCTGGGGTAGTGTAGATTCTAAATTGTTCAAATCATGACCCCCGGGGGTAGGGCGGGGCCACAATAGGGAATCCAAGTTTTACCTTGAAATATATAAGAAAAATCTTTAAAAATCTTCTTCTCAAGAACCACTGGGCCAGAAAAGCTGAAACTTATGTGGAAGCATGCTGGGGTAGTGTAGATTCTAAATTGTTCAAATCATGACCCCCGGGGTAGGGCGGGGCCACAGCCACAATAAGTACTACGGGGGGGGGGGGGGGGAGAAATCAGGTGAAAAACAGCAAGGCCAAAGTTACTCAGGTGAGCGCTGTGGCCCATGGGCCTCTTGTTATTATGTGGTTTTGTCCGGATCTGTTCCCAGAGACTATTGCATAGATTTGTATGAAAATTTGTACACTTATTATTTACCATATGAAGATATGCACCTGGTATTTTCAACATTATTTGATAATTTTTCTGCATTTTGCAGTTGTTTTTTTTTTCATTTTTATTGACTTAGTCATTGCGGGTTCATGTCTAAGGTTTGAGACATAGAATCTAGAACATCTGTACAAAAATGTGAACTACAGCTTAAAACTACTCATTAGAACTAAAAAAAAAATCACAAAGTATTAAAAACAGTTTTTACATTACACAGCAGATAGTGTAAATCCATTTGTTCCTTGGGAGTAATGAGTGGACATGCATCCAGTTAAAGATTAATTAATGAGTTCAGTGTGGGAAGCTGTTAGGGCATCTCTGCATCTCTGATCAAGCAGGTCTTATCTATATCTCCTGGGAATTGGGCAGAAAGAAATAAAGATCTCTGTTGTCTAAGTCTCTTAGTTGTAATTTATGTCTGTCAAAATACATAGTTACTGGAACCAGCATTTTATTTCTAAAATGAGTTTGATATAAAGGTATTAAGATCAATTTGATTTTGTATAATTAATTATGATATTTTTTTTTTCAACAATCAATTTGCAAAGTGTCATGTCTCACAAAGATGACAGATAGTTGCAAACTATTTTTTCAATGTCATAAATAACACTGTAATTACTAGTATTGATGTTTTATTAGGCTGTACCTTAGTTTCACTCATTAAAAAAAAATATAATGAGTAATTAAATTTTCACTCTAAATGTTTAAGCAAATTGTGGACACCTCTCACATCTAGAAAACATTAGTGATTTGGTACCTTCTCTGAAAAACCCAGCGGGGGGTGTTTGTCCCTTTTGGACAGTTCTAGTTTCAAAATGAAAATTGGCATTATTTGCAGATTTTTTTGCAATACAAAGTATACATAATTATGTGAATTTTTTTTTTAGAGTCTAGTCTTTTCCTTCCCCGTCTTTCATCCTTTAGTGGACCCTACCACAGGAGAGTTAGACGTCAAAAGAGCATTTCCCAAGTGGAGGTAACTCTTTTGCAGTAGAGAACTCAGTAGCATCATTATAAATTGTATATTGAATGAAGATCAAAACTTATGGGAATATTTTGAATTTTTGAGATTTTCAATTTTGGAACGTTGTATGATTTATACTCTTAAATCTCCTTTACAAAGAACAGTGGTTCTTTAGAATTGATAATGCATTTTCAATTTTTTTTTTCAGAAAAAGTTCAAACCATATATGGCAGGTCCTGCTTTATGCACGTCGTGTTTTCTACAAAATAGATACCAAACTTCCCTGGAACAAGGAAGCTGCCTCACTGTAAGTCTTACTGTCTGTGAGGATCCTTCTCTGTGTTTGAAAATATTCATTACATTAGATACTGTACATGTACATAAATTGGCATATTCAAAATTTAGCACAATAACAGCCTATGGAGTTGTTAGTATAATCATGAATTAGCACTGCGCAGTTCCGCCCAATGCATTGCATTTATTAATGATTTCTTCACTCAGTTTGCTGTAGTCATGAATTAGCACATCTTTGTCTGGGCCAAAGCTGCTAAAATATAAAGCCCGCTTTTTTAAATACACATACAGTAGTCCATGTGCTGGTTGTTTACACATACATGTAATAAATAAATAACTTTAGAATGATATTTGAATAAATACAAGTATTTATATGCATGTGCCTGTATTAGCACTCCACTATTTCATCAATCTGACAAATTTCCAAGTTTGCACAGCTTTTGTTTAAATCAGTTACAAAGTTTTACCATCTGTGTGTTTGGAGAAGTAGACTGGATACCAGGTCCAGTGTTCAAGAATTTAATATAAGAATCACTGGAATACTGATAGTGATTTTTGTAGCTTGAAATTTTTTATGATTCCCAAAGGTATGACAATGAGCCAGATGCTTTTCGAAAAGAAGTCTTGAAGACGGTGAATACCAGTAAAGAGAAAATAGAGGAACCAGTTAAATCAGATGACCCACATATACTCAGGTACAGCAGCAAGTATTGCATACACTGCAGCCTGCTTATACTGCTTTATTGAATGGTGAAAATTACAAGCTGTCTGCAGTTAGTACATTGAAATTGCATCCATTTGTTTGTTCATTTGTCAGAAGTTGTACAGGGCAAAAATTTCTTTTTGGAAAACACCTATAGTGTCACATGTACATTAATAGACAATTTTTGGTTTATGCTTGGAATGCACACAAAGAAAAGGTAGACTAATGTGTCCAAGTGATCTTGTAGGTTCACCCCTCTAGATCCAAGTGTTCATGAAGAAGTTCGGAAGCAGATGATGAGTATGCAGGTAAATTGCACAGGTAATCTTGGCTTGGTGTGTGGTCTGTTAACACCTACTTTTTACTTACTTTTTACTTACCAATAGAATCTAATGATATTTTTCTGTGCTATAACTTATGTAAATTTTATGTTTATACTATAATATTATAATATATACCATGTAGTATATTATTGTATCATAGAGTGACTTATCTATATGCACTTTGTAGATATTTTGTAGCAAACACATACTTTTAACAGTAGCTTGCCATAGGTAGAAATATACATGTATATGTGGCCATTATTGATAATTAATATTTTCCCAAAATTTATGCTTGTAAAATTCTTTGCTTGATAATATGTATGAATTGCTTGAAATATATTTTAAGAACTAAACTGTAATCTGATTGCATTAAGGATTTCTCTTTTAAATACAGTCTCAAAAAATAGGGGATGTACATTGACAACTTTTGGTTTGTGTCTTGCATGGAAAAAAATATTTTAGCTTGCATGATTTGCTAGAAATGCTGAGTTTGTGTAATGGTAATGAGGATTGGAAACCCCCCCCCCCCTTCCCCCACTTCCCAATAGATTTTCAATCAAAACAGATCCCAGATACATGTAATGAGAGGATGAAGGCAACAATAAAAATTTCTGTTGATAGAATTTAATATTTTAAATTGTGTAAACAATAACTCAAGAGTGTTGAAAACAACTGAAGTTGTTATCATTGATCATGTTAACATTCCATATTTTATTTTTTTAGCAGTTGGAAACAATAGCAAAAATTTACTGGTACATGCAAGAAATTTATATACTTTGAGGGAATAAAGAAACGCCAGTAATATATTTTTAAAACTTCTTCCATGCTTCAGGTCAGTCAAAGTGATCCGGGTGGAGTCAAGCCAGGTCTGTCATGGATGAAACCAGGAAGTGTTCAGATTTTTGCCAGGGAAGATTCTGCATTAGCATAATTTAAACTTTGTATAATGTATACTGTGTTCTTTCCTTTTTGGGAAAGAGACTTAAACAGTACCCTGTTCTTTTGTCTTGTGGAAAAAAAACTCTAAAGAGAGTGGATATGTTTTCTCATACAAAAACTCCAAACTCTGGTGAGTTGAACAAGATATTTAACCCCAAAATGGTGCTCATTGTGTTTGTCTGTTTCTTTATAAATATATATGACACACACAAACAGTTTGAAGAGGACATTTCAATGGAATGGTTCATTGCTATGGTAAAGCACTGGCCAGGAATAAATCTATGCATGTATTTTTTTTTCTTCATTTTTTTAAAAATATTTTTTGTTAAATAAATAAATGTTTTTTCGTAGAAAATATTTTGCTTTACCAAATTGGAGATGGTGATTTATAAAATTTTTATTTTTTGTGAGTTATTTTTGCTTCAAGTGCAAAGATGTGTATTTTTTGAGGTTGTAATGCTATTTATGCCTTATTATGTGACAGTTACCAAATTAAAGAAAAGTACTTTTAGAATTTTTACAGTATTTACAGTATATATCCCGATCTTAACAATCTTCATTATATCTGAAAAAGAATTAAAACATTGATTTAGATGAAAAGATTTCAGTACAATTAGGAACAGTATTTTCAATGAAAATTGATATTAACTTGTAATGAATCCATGAAGATTTGCATGTTGTACATGTATAAATATGTTCTGTATGTATTCTGTCTCCAGTTTATTTGGTGATCTGTGTTGATGCAATGTCATCTGATGAGAGGACAAAACTTTAGTGCTTTGTCAAACTTAGTTTTGTTTTTATTTTTCAATTTTTGTTGTTGTTGTTGTCATTTTTACCAAAAGCAATGAACTGTAAAGAGATGAAAATTTAACTTTAAAGACATTTTTCAATAAAGATTTTTTTTCTCCGCAACTTGAATATCTTCATATTTTCAACTTTATGTAACATTATATTGATTTTGTCACTCTCATCAGTTGTATGAAATGTTGTGCAAATGCATTTTATTGAAACATATCATATGGTTATATTATCACCTTATATTGTTTTAATGAAAATCAAAACAATAAAATTAATATATTTATATAATTTACGTATCATGTTGTATATCAGTTTAAGCCCACCTTGGCTGAAGCTTTTTCTGTCTTTCATGTATAACTGCCTCCAATATTTTCTTATTTTGAGCTACTACTCAAGCTATCTTTTTACAAAGTTTCCTATGGAAAAAAAACTCCCATTGTTTAACCCTATTTGAAGTTTAGTCAATCTGGATGAAAAATGGCAAAACCCAGGACAAATTGCAGCAGAAAGTTTTTTAATGCCAAAATGAGGTATGGCATATGTCTTAATAATCTAAAATAAAAGTATAAGAAAAAAATAATCAGGCAAAACCCTGGTTTGAGGCAATTTTTTTCTTTTTTTAAAAAGTCAGAGAATTGTAAAAATAAAAAAAAATTACCACTCTTGCGACCAGTAATTGAAATTATTTATGTTTGACCACTAAAATGAATAAAAAAAACAATAATAACCCTCGAAACAAAGTCTGGTGGTATTTAGGAGTCACCTTGTCCGTCTGTCTCTTCGTCTGGTGATGCAATCTTGTTTGTGCCATAACTTTGTAATAGAGATTCATTAAAAGATCATATTTGACACAAAACTTTCTTATGTCTTGAGGATTTGTCATGACTTTGGGTGAAGGTCATGTGCATGCGCCCTCCTTTAATTAGGTTCATGAAGTCTAAGTGTGCGAACTTGGCCCGTGTAGGTTCTGGAAACATCTATTTATGAACGATGTCTAATTTCTGAGAATGCTGTCCCCTTATCAGCTTTGTCCAAGAAATTTACTCTGGTGTGAGACATTTCATCAGTCAATCTTAAGAGAACAGTTTCCTTTGTCAAATTTTTATTTCATAAAGACTTCCATTAATTAGAATAAAATTGCCAACTCTAAATCTTCCTCTGAGATAAGGAAGTTTGTAAGCACAGATCACATGTATATGGAGAAATTTAATGCGTTTGTACCAGTAATGCCTTGCATATGTCATTATGGGCGTGTCTCCATGGTCATGCCTATGATATGTTTGAAGTATTGATGCACAGCCCATCAATCTTCTGGGACCTCATTAAAGGAGACACTACTAGGCATCAGCAGTATGAGGAATAATAGCAATAAAGATGTACTGCAATTTATTTCTAAATAATTTAATTTTGGTTGTAACGCGTCATTTGATTGGATGGAAAAAAATAGTATATATCGTATAACCTGTGTTGCCTACGTCACAATGACTTGCGTCAAAAACGTATCAATCCTCTTGACGTTACATTTACAATATGTGCAATTTGAAAGCATTTTGTCTTTTGTTCTACACTTAATGATGGAAAATTAAGTTATAAGGAATGAATTTAATAGCTACCAAAGTTAAACTGGTATAAACTTGGTTGGTACAATTGACGCTATTTTATAAACCGCTGCTCGTTTTATAAAGCGCAAACTGTTCCAACCCAGGTTATACAGTATCACGTGGGTAGCTATTATATGTTAATTCATTAATTTAAGATTTTCAAATCCAATTTTAAAAAAAGGATATATACTAGGGGAAAAAATAAAAAAAATTGAACATTTTCTGTTGGAAACTTGTGCTTTAAATAGAGTGGAGCACCAAAAAAGAAAAATGAAAAAGCAAACGACTTTATGGTCCCGCATTTAGACCTTTGTATAAAGTGGTTGCAAAAGAAATTTGAAATATTAATCAAACCACATACCAAGAATGATTTAAAGACTTGTTCATAACTACTATAATTGATGTACTAGTATATCATAAATATACGGAGATGGGTGATTTGATCTTGATCATTAGCGCAAAATTCAAATCAAATGAAATGCAATAAGAATGATTGATCCAGATGTGTACATACGTTGGACCTTTGATGACACGGGCTGCATTTATGTTAGTATTTTGGAATACCTTGAAGGAACATGTGTATTATTTTACTTTTTTAAATTAGTAAAAATACACTTACGATTGATTTCTCGTGGTTGTTTACAAGTGTAATTGCTACTAGGGCAACCTAGCAATATCTTCTCAATTAGCATAAATTTCATTAAAATATAATTGCAAAATTAACAACTTTAGACTGATTAGATTTTCTTTTACTTTTGATATGATATGGGAGGATGTTAGAGACTGCCGGCAATAAAATTATTTCTGTTGCAATTTGTTTCGGTGTTGTAGAGAGAAAACTCCCCATTATAGTGAGAACCCCCCCCCCCCCCCCCCCCCGGAAGTCTTCCTCTAGAGTGAGCCTTCACCCCTAGGTCGAAGTCTAACTCTAGAGCCATACCCCCCCCCCCCCCCCCCCGAGCCATACTTCTACCCAAAAGTATCAAAAGAGGGTAAGTCTACCCAAGGGGAAGCCTTAACTTAAAGCCTCACTTCCTCCCGCAAGATTTGCTCTAGATACTATCCACTTTGGGAAGGCCCTGTCATATTGTAATTTTTGAATTTACCAGGTGGTAGTAAATACAAAAATTACAATTTGTCATATTGTAATTTTTGTATTCACTACCACCTGGTAAATTCAAAAATTACAATATGACAGCCCACTCTAGAACCATATTTCCCCTTTGAAGTCTTGCTCTAGATTGAAACACCCCCTACTTATCAAGGTAAATTCTAAATGTGTAAACTTATTGGAAAGGAAAAGGAGGGTATAAATTTTATATTTTAAGTAAAAGTAACTTACACAAAAGTAGTGCTCGTGCTGTCTATTTTATTTCATACTATATAGTAGACACGAGTACGGTGTACACGTTTATCTAAGCCATACAACAACGATATGAAATTTCATTGCAAGAACTCCAGAAAGGAAAGTGTTACTCATGGACAGAAAATCAGCTACTCGGACGAACGAACAAACGGACAGTCACATCCAAATTTTAAAATATTCGTCACTTTCAGTGAAAGTGGGGGGGGGGGGGGGAATCAAAGCACCGCTGTAAAGGTTTTGTAACTATATTATCTCTATAGAGTGACTGAATTGTACTAGTAAAACCAGCGAGAAGATCTGCTATGGGGGAATTCTGACTCTACAACTAGTAGTAGAGTCTACAGGTGTTCCTACAGGGAAGTTCTGGAGTCAGAGTTCCCCCAGAGGGACGTCTCACTCTAGAGCCAGACTTTCGGGGGGAAGTCCCACTCTAGAGACAGTTTGACTATGGGGGAATTCTCACTCTACAACACTGGGTGAAACACTAGATGTACTGGGCTGGATTTAATTGAATTAAAAAATGGAATTGGTGTGATGAAAATTACTACGATGTATATATATACCCAGTACCCTGGTACAATGAGCCCGAGAAGTTGTGAACAAAACCATGATATCATTGTATTGCAAGCATTAAAGTAGGATAATCAAATCATGTAGATTCTGCCAGTGTGGGATGACAAAAATGGTTTAAAATTTAACGCAGATATTATTTATTGGGATTGTGCAAAGAAACATTATCCGACCTCAGAGAACACGGTTGAAAACTCAAGAATGGAGGGATATGATATTATAATACAAAACAATTCTGAAGTTCTTGTTTTCATTGTGCTGCAAGAAAAAGTCGTGTATACATGTTTTTGTATCAGATGGATGAACTTGAAGTATTGTTAAATCGTTTTAAACAAGATCAGTATCAGAAAATTATAGTCTTACACGAAAAGGAAATATTTTAAATGCAAGTACCTTCATGATGTGTTAAAGTTTTAAATTGTCAAACAAGGGATTACATTAAGATGTATGAGGATGTATGAAAAAAAATCTGATAATAAACAATAGCAAGACTACTACTAGTAAATGTCAGAAGATGTTGACCAAATTTTGTAAAATTCAACCCATTCCCACCCATGGTTCTTAGATTTAGGATACATAAAACTAGAAGGTCCATTGGAATAGTTTTCTTTATATGCTTTATAATTGTAGTTACCTTGTCTTTACACTAATATTTTTATGATAAATTTCATAGATAACATTTTATTTATTTTTTTGATTTGAGACTTTCAGACATTTAAAAAAAATTACTAAAGCCCCAAATAACGGGTATGTTAGAATAATAATGTCAACAGTTAACATAATGAACAACAAAAGATCTTTGATATACGGTTTTGATAGTTGTTAAAAACAGAAATGTTTATGCTGTAAGAAATTCAGGCATGGATTGTTTAAAAAAAAACAGATTTACAAAACTAAATCATTAGTTTAATATATGTTCTTAGTATTAATCAAATTGTAAAAATATGTTGTGTTTGGATTTGTATAAATATCGCTAGGTCCGAATTTCTGTCTTTCATTGATGCTATCCCCACAACTAATGAAGAACGAGGATCATCTCCACTTTGTCGAGTCTCTGGATCCGCCACTCGATCATTGGCGCTGTGAAAAAGGCGTTCTCATTCGCCAATGTCAGCGATTGTTACGTCATCGTGTTTTGCTTGGTATTACGTCAGTTGTAGTTACGATCATTTCCAAAGCATCAGCTGGAGAGGACAGACGTGCTTTAAGCCAAGAAAAACATTTGTGGAAAAACTTGTCTTTTACAGACTCCAATCTGCTGAAAGATGTCAAAAGAGAAAAATAAGAGGGTAATGCCTCATTTTGGTGAAATTTTTGCCAGAAAATCTATGTATGTCGATTTCATTGCTGATTTTTTTTAATATCAGCAGATGACACTCTGTAAATTGTAAATTATGTTATTAAACTTGCAGAGAATAAATTATGAGATATATTAAAACAAAGGTATTATTTCATGATTATGTAATGGGTTAAAATATTATACAAGTGTATAGGCCTATCATGTACATGTATTTAAATTTCACAGCAGAGTCCCCCCCCCCCCCCAATTGCATGTGATCCATTCAAACAGCGTTTTATTTGTTGTTATGTTCACTTTCGCCGAGGCGAAGATTATGAAATTAATGACAAATATAGATATTTTATACAGTAATTAATGTGGTGAAAACTCCGCGAATTATCTGTTTACAATAAAACTTACGTAACAGTTACTTTTTTTGGAAACCAATAAATATTTTTAAAGCTTAACGTTTTACGATTGTAACAAAAGTTGTATGAGTGAGATTGTTGGATTTCTCCTTTGATTCATTTCATTTCATCATTTGTCGGGTAAGTCTCCAAAGACAACATAATTGTGCCTTACGATTTACGTGTATTTCACGAGAATCTAGAATGTAACCAATGAATTCACAATCATTCCATGGGGTACTACAGTATTATCAAAACTAGCGCCCCCTCCTCCATTAGATATTATTTTAAAAGATGAAATAAGATTTTAAAAAAATCATTATCCATTGTTTCAAGCCACAGTTTTTTGCGTCCATTATATTTCCAGAAACCCACGAGTTTGCGGACATAAAATTGAAGAAAACCTTTGGCTTACGCATGAACTATTATAAAATATTTTTTCTTGTCGATGAATTTTGAGGAGGGAAGGTTTGCAAGTGTTCATGGCACCATTTTCATAGCAATTTTCAGAGGAATTTTTACAACTTTTTTCACATTCAGTAGGCCTATTGGTATATATCAAAATGTAAGTGACAGATAGGTGGAAAGTATATATAAACAATTCTAGTTATCACATATTTCAGAGTACCATTTAACCATCAAAATTATAATTCTAATCAATCTTCGAAAATCTTTACTTCAGAAGGAGTCAAACTGTTGGCATGATTATAATTTAGCAATTAGTCTTTTACCAAAAATTGTGAAATTCATGGCCCCTGCGTTCAGGAATAAGGCTAAATTAATCATTTATTGAAAACTTAATATTTATTTACATCTTTGAAAAAAAATCTTCATTACTCACATTTAGAAGGCAGATACTTCGCTTGATTTTAATGAGCACTAGTCACTTGTTCAAAATTTCATGGGTCCATGAATCAGGCCCCTGAGTGGGCTAAGTAGGTCCTTCATTAAAATTTATCAACAATTTACCTTATCTTCTTTACTCTCAAACCCTTATGAGACTAGCTGCATGGTGATGATAATGATCATTGAATTCTCACCAAACAATGTAATTTTAGTCACGCAAGACACAAGCAAGTTATAGATACACGTATGGCTTGTGCGGTCATGGCCTGAGAAAATTATGATACCCAGGTGACTGTCAAGGCCCATGAGCCTCTGTTCAGAACAGGATTCATACATTACCTTTCCAACTGTGTTTGAGATTCAGGCTTACTTTTACAACTTTTTTATCATATATATTTCAGAAAGTTGATGATTCTGCCATTGCAGACTGTACATCTGCGTTTAAGAAAATGGCTTTGTCAGCCACTACACCAAAACCTGTGGCAAATCACCAGGTTCGATTGCTCATTTCTTTGGTTAACGAACTTTTGTTTTTTTAAGTAAATAATTTTCAAACACCATCTATAAATTGTAAATTAAAAGCAATAACCAAAGTGATAATAAAAAAGTTTGCCTCATTTTAAGGTATTTCTGTTTTTCATTTTTTTGTAGACCGAACCAAAGAGTTCTAAAAAGCGTTCAAAGCAAAAGACTAGATCTTGGAGACAGAAGGTAAAAAATCATATATGCATATAACAATTTTTGTAATATATATCGATCATTAGGATGCATTTCTGTTATTTTATGTTAGAACCATAAACCCCAACACTGCTCCCTTCCCAGAGTTTCATTAAAAAGTTAAAATGAAATAAAAGGTAAACAACTGAAATTCTTATTTCATGAAATTTCATTATACAACTATATTTATTCTTTCATTATATAGACCGAGTCCCAGCAGGTGGACGATCTAAAGACAAAGCAGACGGACAGCTTTACTATGAATTTAAGAAATCAGATTTCCGCCATGCTTAAAATCATCAGAGCGGAAACTGTAAGTAAATAACCCTTTTTAAACCTTATATAACACTGTATAACATTCTACTAAATTGTAATTGCAATTTTTTAGTGGTGTATAGTTTAAGCTACCATTACTGCTTGAAGAGTCGAAATAACATATATAGAAGTAGACATGTTTTGTCATCGAAATTCTATACCAATGCTGCTTTGACTACGATATCAAAACCTAGAGGCTGTCATCAACTTAAATTAACTACATATGATTTTATTTCAAATCCATGTTGGCTATAACTTAACATTTTAAACGTTAGTGTTCAATATCATGTTTAAGTCTTACGTCCATCTTTCAATTTCAAAGGACAAATTTAATTTGCTTTGCTTTGTTAATTCACATTGCTTTTAACCAAATCATTCATTTTTTGCGTGCAGGAATCAGAGATACAACCAGCGGCCACCCAACCATCCCCGACTCCTTCGACCAGTTTCGTCGATGTTTGTCTGGCTAATTCTGCCGAGAAGAAAGTTTCGAGAAAAGTGGTATGTGTGTGTGTGTTTGTGTGTGTGTGTTTTTCAGTATTGCTATAGCTAATTTTCTGCATATTTAAAAAAAAAAAGATTTTAATTGCACAATTAAAACAAGATCCACGAAAACAGCACTTTTCCAACAAGAACTTCATATAATCAACTTGCAGAACTTTTGATCGAGTGTGAAACCGTATAATGAATAAATAAATAAATAGATAAATAAATAAATAAAACTATGCAAAAATATATTTAACTTACTTACTACATAATTACTAACTTGTATATCTTTTCTATTTTATCAAAAAATGCGCAGGAAAGGAAACCAGAATATAGCCCAGATGAAAGGGAGGTTCTAGAGGAACGCATACTGTCGACCAGAATAGACGGGTTTGGTGTTGAGGAAAAATGTACTGGTAAAGTTGTGAGTACAAATACTATCTTTATACTTTGTATACTATTGATATTCTGATGTTAGGCAAACATTTTTTAACATTACGTGGTACTAGTGTATGCATTAATGCTTTATTAATGTATTAATATACTTAATTACTTGTACAATGTACATGTATGTACATTTCCATCTACATATACGTTTTTTTTTCCACAGGACTCTGCGACTTCAGTTCCGTCTTCGCCGTCCGCCTCGACTGGAACACTTCTGTCCTCTTCTTTTGATCAGAAGAAGGCTGTTAGCAAGTCGGTACGTAATTATTGACTTGAAATAAAGTTTGTTTTTTTTTATCCTATTGTATTAGCCAACGATTCATACAATTAAGCATCTGACCCCCTTTTTTAGCATTACTTAACAGTGTTATTCAAATAATGTGGTTTATGACACATGCAGAGGACATTGCTGAAAAGTGTGCCATATCACCTCAGTTCCGCAGCTACATATCACCTATGTTCCAGGTGTTAAATGGTGTAAGGTATTAGCAGTAAATAAATTACATGTAAATTTATTATAAATCTATTTGTTTCTTTGTAGAAAAGATCGACAAAAAGTCGTTTGGTTGACAAGCAGGTGCTTGAAGGTCCTTCTCCGCCATCTGAAACGGGAAAAGTACGAACTATGGTAAACATAATACAATAGTCTTCAACATCTTACGATGGTCAATTCTAAATCGTTGAGTTGGTGTAGATACAAACTAACATTATATATTAACGACCACGTAGTAAATCTTATCCTCTCTTTATAACTGTTATAATCATGCTTCGTACATTGTGTTTTTTTTGATTTGTTTAGAAACAGGACTCTCGAAAAAGGCGGAGGCGGACCGGTCTGGATATGTTTTCCAAGCGGACAAAAGCTAGTGATGACGGAATGTTAGAACGGCTGGTTCGTCTGTTTGCCATGCTGACCTTATAAGCCGATCATTGATGCGTGCCAGTTATGTGCACATTGACGTGCACATATAGTTATATCATATATTTTGTATGATTTTTCAAATATATACTGTATGTATATATTTTAGTTATATACTATGTATATACAATTTATTTTGATTATATACTATGTATATTTTTTATTATATACTATGTATATGTTTATCTATATACTATATTTATATAGTAATGAGTCTAATACTTAAAATAGATAATTTTTCTAAGCATGCTGGCATGGCTATTAAAATTGAAAGGATATGGTTTCAAGATTGAAAAAGAGTGGAAATATGTTGACTTATATTTTTCCAAACTGGTAGTTGATTCTATTAAACTATAAACCACCTAATTTGATTTTATTACTTCGTTATGAACAATCATGTAATAAATTTGAGGATTTTTTTTAGTAAATGAATTTTTGGTCTTGATTTATGTTTTCAATGAGCAAATTTCTGGCAATTTTTTTTTTATCCACATGTGGATGAGAATCTTATGGCAGTTTTCAGTTTTCATCAAAGTTAGTTTATTTTTAATTCTCTTGACATATATTTTTAAATTTTATTTACTTATTTAAGTTCATTTAATATTTTTTTTAAAGATGGGAAATTTGTAAATACTTTGTATTTTTGCAATAAACAGTATAAAAGAATCGAAGTTGTATTTGTTTGTTCATTGATAGTTGGTTTCAAAATCCGGAAGTATTCTTGGATTTGAAGTCTCATGTACATTTAAATATTCGGTAATTTTGAAAAAAAAAGAGGTCAAAGGAATTTTGTACAAAGTTTATAGATACCCGGTAATATAGAAATTATACAAAATGTCATTTAATCAAGATCATTCATAATGAAAATAACTTGATTTTGAACATTTTTGAAGGTTAGAACATATACATTTATAGGCACTTGAAGTCAATGGTGAACGAAACTTGATTAATCATTGTTACCATCTCAATTTTTCCCCAGAAAGTCATGCTTCTGCAAAATTAAGAAATCGTACACATGTATTACCAAATTTTTACGGTGATTCTGAATTTAATTTGAGTGTCTAAGGTAATGAAAGGAAAGCCTTTTGAATAAAATAAACTTTATGGTTTTTTCCTTTTCAAAATATTTAAACAGACTTACATTTTCCCCCAGTTCTAAGATTAAAATCAAGGACATTTTAAATAACAGGGCGTCTTCTTCCTAATTGTCAATGTATTTTCTATTTCTAACTAACAACCTTTTCTTCGTAGCAATAATGGTTTAAGATGAATGCAAAGTTACAAGATTCAAAAGATAAATGATATGTATCTAGCAGGTAACAAGGTATTTTTGTGGGTGGGTATCCTTTATTTCGGATTCAATGGGATATATCAAGTTGACATATGAATAGCAGTAACTATTGTTAAATGAAAAAACGCTGTCGATATACCGGTATCTGAATGTTAAGTTGAAGACAAATGTTTTCTTCTTCTCATGTCGAAGTTTGTGAATACATTCTACTTCATAGTAATATAAAAAACAGGTTGGCTTATAGAGGAATAAAAATAAGGGGCCGGAAAATTCCAATAATTTCTTGGAAGACATGGTCTCGAAAGACTACAAAGATATTGTGAATGAGGAACTCCACTCCTTTTAATATCAACTTCAGAGTACTTGTGTGTAGAATCAGAGTGATTTTTAACAAATTTTTTTGGTGATCACCTATCACAAGATATGAAAATTTCCAAGTTCAGTTTTATTTAAGAAGCAGTTGTCTACGATATCAAAAAGCCTAGTTTTTAATTTATCGTGAGGAATGGTTGTATTAAGTGTAGAAAAGTCATACGTTTTTTGATATTACTGACTTCTGTAATTTTAAATTTTTCTAAAAGTTCCTTTGAGTTTCTGAGAATTCACATTTGATTTATACCACTTCTAGAATCTGCTGTAGCATAGTACGTTTGAACTAAGTTGTTCACGTATTTAAAATACAATTAGGAAAATATTCTTTACTCATGTCAATCTAGCAAGCAGTTGTTTTAATGAGTACTAAAATATCTAACAAAATTATTAAATTCATGTCCCCTGAGAACATTAAACGTTTGGGCTACGTTGGTCATAAGTGAAATTCATATGCTTAAAGAAATCTTATTCAAACCTGAACTTTAAGCAAGCAAACTTTTTGCATGAGGACAGCTATCAGTCCTTGACTAAACAACTTTAAAAGACATTATAACCCCTTTCTCTTTCGCATTATTATGCCTTTTCAAAAGGTGTAATATATGGAATCCGGATAGGACCACGTAGTTCAATATCACACTATCGAGCATCAACTAAAGGGTCGATGGCGCGATACTGCGATGGTGTGATGATGATGAAGCGATGGCAAGATGACGAAGAACCGCGATGACGATATTGCGATAGCGCGACAATGCAATTAAGATGGTGCGATAGCACGATGGAGCGATAGTGAACATCGTCATCGTACATCTCTCCATCGTCATGGCACCATCGTGTCATTATCGCACATACCATCGCATTCTCGCACTTTTGCTTCCTCGTGCCATCGCATCATCGTTATCGCATAGTATCGTCATTGCATCATCATCGCCTATCGCACCATCGCTTCATCGTCATCGCATTATTGCGTCATCGCACTATCAACCAAAACCTCGATAGTGAGATGATGCGATAATGAACTATGCATGGCCCTATCCGGATTCATAGTAATAACCCTTTTCCACTTCATGAACTTACAGCTTTTTAGATGCCGTAATAATGCATTTTCATTTTACGCTATAACGCCTTTTCGAAAGGCGTAATATTGCTTTATACGCTTTATTGCAAATTGGCCTTATCACGCATTTTTTCGCATTATATCGTCTTTTTATTCACATTATAACGCCTTATTTGCGTTAGTATCCCTTTAACTAGACTTATAATCCCATCGTGAAATGGTCGGGGCATAAAGTGTTACCATCATATCCCTTTCCGTAGGTCATACAAACATGTTTCTTGTCAATTGAGGAAGTTTCACGAAAGTTATTGCCCTTAGACTTTGAAATTTGTAATTTTTCCCCACAATGTTCCGGATTTATATTTGGCTGTACTTGTAGAAAATATAATGATTTTTGGTATGCATCGTTATATCACTTACGGATAAAATTCGAGTTTCACATCAGTTGATTCAATTTCCCAAATGTTATTGCCCTTAGATTTTGAATTTTTTTAAATAATCAGTTTTTTAAAAAAAATGCTGTACTTGATCACCATTTTCACGAAACTAAAGTATGTTGTGCGATTGACAATAAATTCAAGGAAACAGAAGCATTAATATATTTTACCTTTTTCTCATTTACACCCTCAAATATTTTCATACTGTGGACCTTCAAATAATTGTTTGTGAGTGGAGATATTCGTGTTACACTTGCTTGTTTTCCAAAGAAATATTTTATCCAACGTATACTTAAATTGAAAAAAAACCCTCCCCAGACAGATCAGTGAATTCTTGAATTCTGTAAGCAAGACTTTCCTGCAAGAGTCAATTTTAGGAATAATTAGAAACCCGTACAAAAAAATTCGACTCCTTGCTATTTACTTACTACTAAAGGATGGTGACTAATCTGAACTTTCCAGTTAATTTTGTATTTTATTTTGCAGGTAGAGAAGTTTGATACACATCAGATAAACTTGATATCTGTCTTCGAAACTGCAAAATTTCTGGAAATATAACAACCGAATTGAAACTCTTCCTTTGATTCACTTATAACATACGCCCACAAGCAATGTGAAATGATACCAAATTCTTCATGATACAGCAATTTGTATATTTTGATATTCTTCTTAAAACTAGAATAACCAGTCTTAAATTTCCGCATGAAAGAGGATCGCAAATATGTACAGAAACAAAATCTAAAAACGTTCAAAACAATTTTAATGAAAAGAAAATATTTTCCTTAGGATAAATAGATAAGAAATATATAATACAAATGCAATTAGATACTAAAAGGAAAAAAAATAAAAACAATACCCTGTATGAAAGGTAAGCCGGTAGTAACCTTCTAGTTTTGACCAACAAATCGTCGAATCTTTAAAGCAACAGGAACTGTCTGTACAACAGGAAGCAAAGATTATTCTTTAAAAATACACAACTTTATAATTTAGGTAGATAATTTAGCTACTTAGAACCAACAATGTCGTCAAAATGTATATTGAAGGCTTTCATCTTCCTTTCTTTAGCACCAATAGTCATTTCCAGTGAAAACCAGAGCTATTTTGCTTCAATTTTATACAAGACTTTGTTTAAAAGTAACTACATATCAACTTTTTACCCTTACTGCGGTAAAAACGCTGTCAATGTAACTATTGATTTAGGACTTCGAGAAATTGTGGATTTATCAGAAAAATACGAGACCATTAAACTGAAGATTTGGATCAGACTTACCTGGAAGGACTGCAACTTCGTGTGGAATGCCTCTAAATTTGGTGGAATTTCCCAGATAGGAGTCCCATATGACAAAATCTGGATCCCAGATGTGACTTTATTTGAAGGTATTGATGATATTGCAAACATGCCAGATATGAAGCAATACAGAGCCTTGATAACGAACACAGGAGAATTTCAATATCAGTTTCCTACGACTGTACAAATGACATGCGGAATGAATATTTCTCTGTTTCCATACGATCATCAAATGTGTACTATGACATTTGGTTCATGGATACATTCAAACAAGTATATAGAAGTGTTTAGTAAATCTGATACTGGAGATCTCACTTCCTTTGTCAATCATCAAGAGTGGGTAGTCGTTAGTCTTAAAGCAACTAAAATAACAGAGTTATACACATGCTGTGAAGAACCTTTCTCCAGCATTTCCTATAAACTAGTGATAAAACGCAAGGCCACCTTCTACATAATCACAATGATTTTGCCTTTCTTTGCGCTCACTGTATTATCCATTGCTGGATTCGTTTTGCCATCCATCTCTGGAGAAAAGATAACATTCCACATGAATATCCTTTTGGCAGTCACTGTCTTTTTGCTCCTGATTCAAGATACACTTCCATCATCATCTGAATTTTTTCCTAAAATTGGAATTTACTTCCTCATAACCCTACTGCTCACTTGCATGTCTTGTGTGATGTCGGCAATCGTTGTGTATCTTTTCTACCATGATCTCAGTGGCAAAAAGATGCCAAAATGGGTCAAAAGAGTTCTAGTTGATGGACTAGGTCGACTGATGTTCATCACACCAGAAACCATTGTACGCTTCAAATCTCAACAAAATGGTAATAAAGATTCTGCAGATCAGGACCAAGTGGTTAGGAAAACCGTGATCCCAGTAGACAAAGCCAAAAAGAATAGGAAGAGTATAAAACTAACAGCTCTAAGTGGAATTCAGGACGCTGTCTATGATGGCTGGGAGGTTGAAGTAGGAGAGGTACAGCGACGAGACAATCACAGAGTCAGCTTCATGGAAACCGACAAGTCTGCCTTCTCTGATGCCAGCAAGAAGATGAATGAGTGGGAATTGCTGGCCTATACATTGGATAGATTCTTCACTGTTTTCTATATAACTGTGTTATCTCTTAATACGTTTGTTTTTCTTATTGTGCTGAGTCAAAATGATGAACCCTGATTTTTCAGAAGACGAATTTTGTGCTCAGAATCAAAGAATTACGATGAAAGCACTTGAAAGAAAGTGTATACATTATAGATTACGTTAATAGATATTGTATTTTGTCTTTTGTATACATTTTGTTGTTTTCCTTTTTGTTAAAATAATTTTTAATGAGAAAATAAATCATGCTTTATTTTGGAATAGCTTCTCTGATTCGTATTTATGAAATTCCAAGGAAATTTGAAATCTTTCGGAAATATGAGAGAACTAAAATCTTGTAAATGCAAATAAATAGTCATTTGGATGTATGCATTGTTTTGTGAGTCGGAAAATATCAATTTTCTATTAAAAAGAACTTAAGAAATTTATTTCAATCTTAACTTGGTTTCAAAAATCTCAAATTATTTGCACACGGAAAGTTACATTAATGCACTGAAATATGTTACTGTATATTGCCAAGGCACCTCAATTGTCATAAAGACATGTAGAATGGATGAAAAATTTAAATTGTACTTCTTAACTTTGCCGTATATTCCCATCATCCATTATGATTTGAGAGTGCATGTACACAAGCAGACATAAATTCGTAATTAAACATGTATGATAGAGAGCAAATAAATGAAAGTCACATATTAGCTTTGAAGTGTAAAGCCTTGTATTTCAATAGTCTTGACCATTTGTAATTGACCTTTGTTCAAGAAATGTCTTCTTTTAACGAATTTGTACTTTTCTAGAATAAAAGCCATTATCCATGTTGTTACACCACACTTCTCTTTTTATACAATCCTGATCTTTAATATTGAACGTTGACCAAATGGTTCTAAAACCTGAAAATTTTCTCGACTTGACGGTTGTTCAGATTGGTGAATGCTTATATCAATAATTTCAACCCTTGATCTTTCAAGAAGTATTCTCAAAATCTGTCCATAACTTTTTATGACTATTGCATTGTCCATTAATATACATGGACTATGCTTTAAAAATGTCTGAGCATAATATCTTATCAATGATTTTGACCTTTACACAAGTGACCTGAAAAAACTATCAATCTCTACACTACATATGAAATCTGTAGGTCATAGAAATGGTCATATGTTAATTTCAAACTTTGACCTTGAGCTCTGAACAAGTGTACCCCAAAACTAGATGTCTTCTGTACCGATGTAGTATGAAGTTTGTTGAATAAAAAATGTGTTATCACATGAACGGGTTTCCTAAAAATATATTTTAGATAAACATATAAATAGTATATAATCGAAACACATTTATAGTGTATAATTAAAATACATTGTATATTGTATATAACTAAAATATATGCAAACAGTATACATTTGAAAAAAAAACATAAAATATAAGACATAAATATGAGCACGTCAGTATGCACATAACTGTAATGCAGTTATGTGATCTCTCTGTAAAATTAACTTGAAAAACAGTTGAACCAGTTGTTCTAACATTCCATCATCACTAACTTTTGTCGGCTTGGAAGACAAATCCAGATCGGTCCTCTTCCGCTTTTTCGAGAGTCATGTTGCTAAAAAAAATCCAATGTATGAAGCATGTATGATCATAAAAAAGAGGCTGCAATCGGTAGCTGCTAAAGTTATGACAAATTCAAAAACCACTAAATACACATATTTGTTTGCATGACTTAGAAATTTTGGATATAAAGTATAGTTCAAAGTGTCAACAAAAAATAATACAAAGTATAGCAGAAACACAAGATAAACAGGAAAAACAAATAGAATATGAATATGTACATAGGGATAACATGTGTAATAATATACTGTACACTGGTGTGAATTAATGAATACAAAACCAGTGTAAATGAGTTGAAAAGGTTTAAAGTTCTGGGAAGTCTTTTGAGAAAATTGTAAAGGTACACATTTACAAAATTCACAAAAACAAATAGCGGAATGGATATACAATGCGACAAAAATGTATATACATAATTGAATAAACAAGAGATGCAAAAAATGCATAGGGTAAAGGGAATTGAGAAGTTGTGGATAAAGTTGATTTACTCTGGAACATACAAAAAATTAAATTTAGAAAAAATATTGAAGCTATTGTTATGATTGACATTTAGTTTTAATGGTCTCACTGAAATACTTGTCAGAAAGTCATCAGAGGATTTTGTGAAAATAACACCCACACTGCCTCCTGAATTTCATGTCCGATTTTGACCAAGTCTGATTCGTCTTTTCAATTCAAACCTTGTTCAGAGCAGACGATATACAATTAATATTTACGGAGGGGCCGAAACACACAATTCTAACGTTCAAGCTGCGTTATCCTTATTTTTTTTTAAAATCAAATTATATCAAATTAAGGTGATACATATACCATAGCTTGGACAATGCATGCATAACTGAAGAAATGTCGCTCCCTTCAACAATGTTACCCTATGATTTGAAAGTCAAATTGTATATTTAAACAATAAAATGCTTTCTCTGATTGTTAGTATGGGAATTAACGTTGCAGCTGTTGCAGAAAAAATACATACGCGGGTTACGTATTTTTTCTGCATTAGCTGCAACGCTAATTCCCATACTTTCAACCAAAGAAATCTTATTATTTCTATTTATGTCCGCATATATAATCATATAGTGCGTTAAATATTGTACTATTGATATTGTATGTTATTGTATGCTTCATCGATGGAAAAGCCACTGCTCAAGAAATCTATACAGGTGGTTTGCTTGGCGTTAAACCGTATAATACTGAAAACTGTTGTTGAAATCCAGGTCCGCATCCTATTTTCCATCTTCTTCCCCCCCCCCTCTCTCTCTTCTTATAGAAACAAAGAAAACGTAATAAATGTTATGTATGTCTCTGCTATAGATTTTTTAATTAATATTCAGGGGAAAAAATAATTATAAATATATGCACAAATATGCAATATTGGAGATTATCAGAGCTTACTCTGACTTGCAGTAAAGCAATCGTATTGAATGACAAGAGTGGCTTTAGATGGGTCTATGAAATACCACGCAAAATATCGACGACGCAGATTTAAGGTCAGACAACACGTTCCTCAATAATATATAATTTATCCCAAGAATTTATCAATAAAATATTTCTCCTTAGCAATTTTATTCACAAAAAAATTGAGGTACCCTGCCAATCATTTGTGCAAGATACCTGATGATGGTGTTTCCTACATAATGCTACTGGAAATTATTTGAAATCCCAAAATAATAATTTTTGGCGTAATTCTTTTTTATGACATATTGAAAACAGTGTAGAAATAGCGAGATGATGATAATAATTAATATAATTTTTTTTATATTACGAAGAGATACAACACAGATATTCGAGGAACGTTTCGTATGACCTTAAAAGAAAAAAAAATCTGAAAGCGTTATACTGCAAAGTGAAAAATCGTAATTACTCGAGATTCAAAGGCATTATAGAATGCCAAAAAGGCATAGAAAACGAAAAAATGCTTCATTTTAGCTTATAAAAGGCGTACTTCAGGGAAAGTGAAAATGCGTTATTACAGTCTTTTAAAGAAGCATTATAGGCATGCCAAGAAATCCCATCCATTTTTCCACAGCGATGGAGTCAATAAAAGTGTAATTGATGCAAATCATCCATATTCCCCTAACGTTGGCGAGACAATTAACGGCAGCAGATTTGAGGGGGTGGATCCAAGTTTTCCGTTTTCTTAGTAAAAGAAAAATAAACTTCTACCCCAGGAAGTAGCCTCCTATGCCCTGAAAAAAAAAATAGTTCCTGTCAAAACCTTCATTTATTTACAAAATATCTAAAATGCACTAGATACAGGTACCAAAATTGTAAAAATAGACTGGAAGGAAATAAAAAAAATTCAAAAGAAAAAATAATAATTTTATATGTATGGAACTAGATTGACTAAGTGCATTTTCATTGGTCAATTGCCGGTATGATACCTTAATAAGGCGGAAGACTTCTCCACAACAACCAAGTTCATCGTGCCCGATGTTAATTTATACTAGGAAAAAATATTTTGATATTGAAACACTGAAAAATTTGAAAGGCGTCTAATTTTTACTGAACAATTAATTAGTTTACTAAATATTCATTTCACTTTCTTTTTCTTCTATTTTACTTTTTTAACCGCATATGATTTGCATGGAACCCCCCCCCCCCCCAAAAAAAAAAGGGAAAAAAGGTGCAAAGGCTTCTAAATAATAAGTATTATAGCTTTAATTTAAAACCAGTAAAACTTAAGATCCTTCCCTCAAAACTGCTGACATTAATTGCCTCGCGGACATCTCCCTAGGGAAAAATCACAGATTAACGCTAATTCCGCTTTTATTGAGTTCGCTCTAAAACTAGAATGCGTACTTTTTCTTGGCATGGAGCAGAGCAAACAAGGACCTCTGAAAACGGAGATGGGATCAGGTGCCACGGAGGGGTGAGCATTTCCTGTCGACCAGTCACATCCGCCATGTGTTCTTTGTCATGATCAAGTAAACGAAAAAAAATTCGTAGACAATTTATTGTGCAAATAATGGCCTAACAATTCGTATGAAACAGTTGTCTAGAATTTAAAAAAAAAAAACCCTATATAGTCTTTCATTTATCGTGAGAAATAGTTGTATAAAGTGTTGAAAAGTAACACGTTTTAATGATATTGATTATGGTAAAATGTGATCTCAAATTTTCTAAAAGTTCCTAGAAATTTTTAAGCACCCAAATTTGATTAACACCACTTTTCGAATATGTTACACAGTACTCCTGAAGTCATCCAAGTTTCTCTAAAATCTTGTTTTTTTTTTCACCTCAGAAAAAATAAAAGCTCCTGTTTCCTTTGGAAACTTCAATGGAAAAATTAGTAATTTTTTTTTATTGTGCTATGATTTACTATGCTTTACTAGGCATTCTGGGTGGTATACATGCATGAAATATGGAGATAACGAACAGTATTCAAGATCAAAATCCATAAAAACAATACAAATCGGGAGCAGAGCAAACAGGGACCTCCAAAAACATCAGAGGTGGGATCAATTGCCATGGAGGAGGGAGCATTCCCTGCCGACCGGTCACACCCGCCGTGTGCTCCTTGTCATGATCGGGAAATAACGGGAAAACCCGTCGACAATTCAGTGTGTAAATAATAGCCTAACAATTAGTATAAAAAACGTTAGTCAGCATATGAAATTGATAAATTGTTTTTGCTGGTAAGGTCATTGTATCGACCATAGAACTTACACAATGATGACTTTAAACGAGACTGTTAATATTCTTGTTTCATCAACTTGTTTGTCAATAACTTGCAGACTTATCTCGTTTTAGAAACTGTTCATATAGAGCATGCTCTTGCGTATCGAATCAACTGAGAGATATACACCTCATATGCAGGTGATAAGGGTACTGTATATTACTGCATAAGTAAGGGAAGTTGACGATTGAAAAGTTAAAATCATCACGTTTATCATATTTAGCTTTGTTTCTTGATTACCATGAACGTCTATTAATAGTAAAATATCCAGATATGAAACAAGTATATGATGTCATGTCCGGTTGATTCATGGGAAATTACAAGAAAAAGACGACTGCTGGCAAAATCTTATCGTTTACCAGAATGGCCACATTTTAAAACGGTTCAGTCCGTAGGAACCGGGGGTAAAGGTCACTACAGGATGAGGCATGCATCCTCCTCTTAATAATTTTGCCATATACAAAGGTTGTCCCAGAAAAACATTAACATTTTTAATTTTTTTTCCACTAAAATTATAAAGATAGATATTGGCATGCACCATAATCAACATTTTTAAATACTTTTAAATACTACATAGAAATTTCAATTAAATATCTCAATAAATAAAATATTTCTTAAATACATGTACAACACCGACTATTTAAAACGTAATTCGTAGCGTTTGTGAAATTGTTTAGGAAAAGTGCGTCTTTTCTCACAAATTTTAAAATTTCACAACCCTCGTAAAAAGGTAATTATCAGTTGTGTCCCCTCCATTATTTTGCCAGTATATACTTATACTTGTACCCCCAAACCGAAATTGCTTCCTACGGGCCTGCAGTTCTTATACAATTATGCATGCAAAATAGTTTCACATTCAATTGAATATTTTGTGTTCTTACTATGCTTTTTGTGCTTTCATATTGTTTTCCTTTAAAACAAAATTACAAAACCCAAAAAATAATAATGGTCCATACATATTTTTATTCATGTATACTGTAGATTCGTTATTTTACGCGAGTACTTAATATCGCGAAATGGCCATAGGGCGTCAAATCGCGAGAACAATAATTCGCGAATGGGTGATTTATCTACAGATTTTACATACATTAAAGCACCATAAAAATAAAAGCGATTAATTTTATTTTATTTTTATCTCGAGTATATTTAGGAATCTACAGTACACGTGTGATTACTAATACCAGGCGTTAAATTTAATGCAAAAAATCATTTCTTTTTGTTTATAGTAAAGAGAAACAAAGCATGTTCAAGCTATAATATTTTACATGCAATTCTTACATTTTTATATAGAGAGAGCATTCTTTTTCAGGATCTTTAAATAGTCAAAAAATTGTCCTCCTAAAGTATAATCAAATTATTACATGGATTTATGAGAGAGGTTCATCAAACATATGAAGTGATTTGCTCTACACTGTGATTTACATGTCCAACAGAAAGAACAAACAATGAATTATCAATACACATTTGTTTAATATAACATACATTTATGCACATGATTACATCCTAGAATATAGACGAGAGGTATAAAAATAAGTATAGGTATACAAAATAATTATGCTGGCATAAAAATAGACTTCATAACATACACTTTATAAAATACAAAAACTGTGGCAAGGCAAAGGAAGATTGCACTATGAAATAACTACATATAGCTAGGACACAATTTTAGTCAAAAATATCTGACGTTTTCCAGGCTTTTTTCAAGATTTTGATATTTGACGTGCCCAAATATCTGACATTTTCTATGCGTTTTTCAAGATTTTGATATTTAAAGTGCCAGTCAAATATCAAAATCTTGAAAAACGCTGGAAAACGTCAGATATTTCGGACTAGGACACTTTAGAGTCTCACAAAGAAATCTGCAATTTTAATACAAAACAAGAGACGTTTCTCAAACATAAAACTATCTTCATCATTTTTTTTGGAAGGGGGGGGGGGGGGGGTAGCGCTTTACAAAGCTGTAAACTGAAGTTTAAAGTTATGAAACTGTATGAAATAACAGTGTTTTCACAGATACATATAAGTATACTTCACACGTGTGAGACACAGATCGGGGTGTAAACTATGGTTTGGAGATGTTTATTATAGACATGAAGCTTACGCTGCATAAACTAGTTTACAAATGATAACCTTAGTTTATCAAATGTAAATGTAAAGCTCATTTCTGCTGATTTGGCGTGTCACAACTAGTTCTTCAAAAAGAATATGGACAAATAAACAATGTATACAGAAAGTCCTTGGTATGTTCACAATTTTGAAAGTACGATGAAGGCATACACCAATTATAAAACAAGAGGCCCATGGGTCACAACGCTCACCTGAGTCACTATGGCCCTCCTGTTTATTCCTATGCAAAACTTTGATCACATATTGTGGCCCCACCGTACCATTGGGGTCATGATTTCAAATATTTGAATCTACACCAACCAACAATGCTTCCATATACATAATCGGAACCTTGCTCTTCTTCTTCATATTTTTCTTATATATTCCAATGTAAAACTTTGATCCTTTATTGTGGCCCCACCCTATATCCATGAAAATCATGATTTAAAAAATTTAGAATCCACACTTACTCAGAAAGCCATCATATAAGTTTCAGCTTTTCCAATCCAGTGGTTCTTGGGAAGAATTTAGATTTTCAAAGCTTTTTCTCAATCATATTTCAATGCAAAACTTGGATCCTTTATTGTGACCCCATTCTACCCCAAGGGTCTATGATTTCAACAATTTAGAATATACAATCAGGAAGCTTCCACATAAGTTTCACTTTATCTAGTTCAGTGGTTCTAGAGAGGAAGATTTTTACGGATTGTTCTTATATTTCAATGTAAAAATGTGGCCCTACCTTACCCCTGGGGGGTCATATGCATGATCTGAACAATTTACAATTTAAACTTCCTAACGAAGTTTACACATAAGTTTCACGTTATCTAGTCCAGTGGTTCTTGAGAAGAAGCTTTCTAAAAATATATTTCAAAGTAAAACTGTCATCCCTTATTGTGGTCCTACCCATGATTTGAACAATTTAGATTCTACATAAGTGTCACCTTTTCTTGCCCAGTGGTTCTTGGAAAGATTTTCAAAGATTTTTCTTATATACTTTAATGTAAAACTTGCATCCCCTTTTTGTAGCCCCACCCTAACCCCGGAGGTCTTGATTCGAAAAATTTAGAATCTAATTTCCTAAGAAAGGTTCCAGATATTAAGTTTCAGCTTTTCAGGCCCAGTGGTTCTTGAGAAGAACTTCAAGAAGATTTTTAATGACACCACCCTTTTTTGCCTTTTCTTGATTATCTCCCTTTGGAAGCGGGCTTGACCCTTTATATTTGAACGATTTAGAATCCCCTTTACCCATAGATGTTTTATGCCAACTTTGGTTAAAATTGACACAGTGGTTCTTGAGAAGAAGTCGAAAATGTGAAAAGTTTACAAACGGACAGACAATGGATGATTAGAAAAGCTCACTGAGCTTTCAGCTCAGGTAAGCTAAAAGTGGTGTAATTCACAGATAACTGGAAAAGATCTGTACAACGTCCAGTTTGTACCTGAAAAAAGGCAATAAAAACTTTTATGGAAAGGAAAGATACACCGTAAAAAAGGATTTGAGTATAAAGGTGATTAGAATGTTCACATCATTATTTCTACATATAGTTGTTTTATTTAATTTTTTCTTCATAAAAACAATTTCTTCGCACAGTTTTCGAATCTTGATTAAAAATGTGACGAGTGTGTGTTTTATTAATTTTACTTTTCCTGACCTTTGTCAGTAAAATGAATAAAAGGTCGTATTAATATTATAAAACTGTTCAAACACACGCACAGGAAAAGTTTTGGCATCACTATATCACCTGTGCATCACTACATTACCTATAACAAAAGTGTTTATAAACTAACTGAATTTGCAACCATTTTTTTTCGTACCATAGTTGAAACGATGGAGATTCCAGCTCATACATCTCTCCGTCCAACTGTATCAGCCGCCTCAACAACGTCAATTCTGGATCTTCGTTCTCAAAACTGTCTTTCATTTCAACCGTGAACCCTCGGACATTTAGTGCCTCCAAATCATTATTCGAGACTTCCTTTAAAACATTAATTTGATTTTTAAAAAAATGAATTTTGGTAATTTTTCTATCCTTATAAAATATTAATGATGAAAAATTATCCGAGAAGACCGTATTATTACTGATGTGGTTTAAACAGTACCGGTATTTGTTCACTCCAACTTACAGCTTTTTTTAATTATAAAAGGGGGGGGGGGTGGTAAGAAGCATCGCTTCTTTCTTATGGCTTGGTCAATCGATGATTATTGACTTTATTCATAAAATTTCAAACTCCTGTGGACAAACCCAACGGGACAGGAATAAAACTTCACATGGAATTGGAATGTTGTCTAATTTTGCTTGATATGTTTTCTTATAGATGAATATTCTGAAGATTTTCCCACATATATAGTCCTATGTAAAACTTTGATCTCTAAATGAGAATGTTTCCATACATCTTGCATTAAGCACAGGTCCAGCTGTTCTTGAGAATTGTATTAAAACTGTGCTCCATTACAAGATTTGAAAGTGAATCTATACTACCTATAGGATTGCTTATATTGCTTAACTAATTATGCCTTTATTGTTCTTGATGAGAATGATTTTGAAGATTTTACCTATTTACTACTATTCCATGTCCAATTTTGTCCCTCTATTGTGGCCCTTCCCTAGCTCAGGGGTATGGGGTTTGGCATGATTTTGATGAGAACAAAATGTATACTACATACTGTAAGACTGATTTATATTAATTTGTTTTATAATTATCCTGCTGTTTTTGAAAAGATGTTTTTATTATTTAATCCCACCTTTATTGGGGGAAGTCAAAACTGAATAACAATCAAACAGATGGTTGATAAACAAACATCAAACAGAAAAATTATCCCAAGTCTTGTACTCAAGTTAGCTATAAACTTTATAAAATAATAGATCTATTATTTTATAAAGTTTATAGCTAACTTGAGTACAAGACTACAAGACCAATACTAGTATGTTTTAATCGCTGAAGCATATACTGAGAATCCTTTGAACTTTTGTGCAAATCTTCCATTTCAACATCTTACCATTGGCGACCTCCTAGCAACGTGTTTGAAAAACCTGAACATAACCCCAGCAGAAAATCCACCATAAAAATGAAAGGTAGAAAACTTGGTGGGTTTAGGAACAAACATTTTAGGGACGTCAAACACGACTTGACCATCAAAGATGACGTTGCCATTTAGGGTCATCATATTCCACAAATTCCGGTCGAAGATCACTGTAAGAATATATTTTACAGTTACGTAAGTAGTACATTATATTCATATGTGTATAGTATTTATGATTATATATATACTAGTATTGCTATCTTGTTAAAGTATAAGAATACATAATTACATATGTACATACCACAAGGACACGTTTAACAAGAAAACTATAAAGTTTACCTGTATCAGAAGTATAAGAACTATATCCTGACAGCTTTTTGTCTTCAACAAAGATCTCCGTCTCATTGCTCTCACTATTGCGTCTTTCGGTAACTCTGGTACATGTATAAACACAGGATTGAAACTTCAAAAATCCACAGCACAAATCAATTCCAATAAAAATATAAATACTAGGTACTCAATATAGCAGGATGCCATGTTCAAATGTTAAAAATCAAATTAAAAAAAAATGTATTCTTTAATGTTAATGATTCTCTTCTCTTTTTAAAATAATATAAGGATAAAGGGCTGCCTATGATGCTTGAAAGAATAAGCACAGTAAATGGTTTACTTTGGGTTTTATTAATTTTACATATTTGTTTGCCAATTTTTTCGTAAAATTAGTAAGCATTACATCTCCAGATGTAAAACAAGCGGTGTTTTTTAATTAAGTGTAGATAATTGGATAAAATATCAGTAACTGAGAAATTTTCAACTCCCAATCCTGTCTATGAAGACTATTAAAATATCAGTTGTGAATAAATGTATTGATCAGTTTTTAGGGATACGCTTGCATAAGGTATCTCATATTAATTATATGGAAATATTTTCTTGTAGCGAATACACGTGTATCTACTGAATGCATAGGTATAGCAACTCAGGTATTTTGGTTGCAATGCTTCAGTATTCTCTTGTAGACGATAATACAACCTCTCCACCTCCCCATGAAACATATACGTGTACATGATTAAGAAGTCCAAAATAACAAACTTACGATGTAAAATAGGTGACTTTGGCTGTGAAAGCGCGATTTGTTTGAGATTTGAAAAGGAACATCCACATGGGAACAACTATAAATTCAAGAAAACAAATCGTCATGAGAAATTAATTTCAGAAAACTCTAAAATTACACAATATTGAATATACATGTATTTTTTGAAATGTCGTTTATTCGTACTAAAATAACGCGATCGCCCGAGCCAGCGAAACTTCCTGTCAGAGTAGTATAAAAGATCTGTCAAGATTCCGTATGTACATGCTGTTCCTCCGAATCCAAGGAGTTTACCATTGTTGTACAGAGCCAGCAGGTGCGATGACACAGTTCTCCCTATAAATACATAATAGCGTGGGTTTTTTTTAAAAGAAAAATTATACATTTTCACAGAAAAAATACAAGCTTTCGAAGAGCAAAGTACATAAATTTATATATTTTATTCAGATTAATCTCACGAGTTTCAGTAAATGTTACACTGTATACATGTATTTTTACAACAATGGAATAGAGAGTTTCGCTCATTTAAAACTATATTTCATAATATGTCCAATGTGCATGTACCTTACCTTTAACGACATGGAGAGCAGCCGTAAGAACATCTTTACAGCCTGTGTTATTTTCCGTCACCCCGCAACCAGTTCCTGGGAGTATAAGATCAAATCATTATTTTTCGGTCATTAGACTCTGGAAATATAAAAAAAAATTACAGGAAATACAAATTTACCAGTTGGTATCATGGCTATAGGAATGTTCAAGGGGGAGAGCGTTGCATTTTGATCATAAATATCCACGCCTTGTTCCTCTTGTCTCCTTCTCAACAATACGTTGATCACCTCATGATACGACCCGTCTCCACCAAGTAGTACAATTCTAGTGTAAATTTGTAGAAAATGAATTGTCCTTGAGATATGAACAACTGTGAGCAATATTCAAAGTGACAAATACAAAGCATTACCCATCAATTTTAGAAATGTCGTAGGTTTTTGCCACGTCTATCATATGTCCCGCACGCTCAGAAACTGAAATGGAAGATAAATACACTGAGTGAGGAATACCTCATTTTCTGAATTTCTTGTTTTATTCGAGTAAGTGGGCTGTATTTACATATTATATCCATGGATATTCCTGCAAGTTTAAAAACTGGTTCCACAATATTCCGGAAATCCTTTCTGGCTGTGCCATTACCGCCAATAGGGTTTATCATAATCAAAACTCTCTTGGGACGTTTTGTTCCTGCAAAATTTGAAATAAAATTTAAGTGCAAAATTTGAAATAAAATTTAAGTACAAAATTACACTCAGGACTTTATTATTTAGTTTACTAGGCAATATAATTGAAAGTCAACAAAGACAATGTATGATAACAAACCATTTGTTATCCTTTTAGTCAAATCTTGTTGAAAATCTTTCCTTTGATCTCCTGATATTATTTTGCACTTTTTCAACAGCACATTTGAAGCACCATTTTCGATAAGCCATACGCGAGTAAACTCAGTCTTGTTAAACCATCCCTTCACCGCCTCATCACAACCGATGACGTCATTTAACTGGTAACTGACTGAAAGAAACAAAGAAATAGCATATATGTCAATGATTTACTCTTTCTATATTCTGTGAAATTACTAATTTCCGTTGGGGATAATTTTCGTTGTTGTTTTCATGGTAAAAAGAGACCCAAGAATTCATGTCCTCCACAAAATGTTAATTAATAACTCAGCACTTCCCAACCACAAAATCAAATCCCCAAAACCAATATTTTTTCAATCCATAAAAATCTGATCCCACGAAAACTTGTGATTTTACAGTACTTAGTAAATAAATGCATCCTCTAAATGTTAGTTGTTCTTTGTTCGGATACCATTTATATACGATCAATTTTCGAATGCACATAATACTATTGATGCGCTAATCAGAATACTATCATACTGATAATGGAGGAAAATCCATTCCAGTTGGAGGCACAAATTACTGATCATATATTTCACAAATATGTAATAACTGTACATGTTTTACTCAAATGGAAAAAGTTCAACCGTAAATAAAAATAACAACTTTATCGAATATATCTGCTTTTAATTCTCTGGTTCATCGTGATTAAAATTGTTGAATCTTTCCAATTGGAAATTAATATCGGAAACAATGATTAAAATTGAAAATGCAATTAACAAAATACAAGACTGGCTGTTTGTATTTACGAGGGTTGTCCAGTAAAATTGAGGACAAAGCGTTTTTATCGAAAAATAATGGGCGTACTAAGCTGAAATTTTCAGCAAATGTTTATTTATCATATATAAGTACATCTTATTTTTTTTTTTAATAAAATATAGACAAAAATAACGATTTTAGTATGTTTGAATATGCACAGGGTACGGTCATACGGCGCACGATCAATGACGTTATCATCCGTGCGCCATAAGGCGATATCACGCATAACAAAATTTCATATTTTGTTTGTTTGAGCATATGTCTATTTGAAATTTGCTATGTATATCGATAAAAAAATTACTAAAGAGTAGTGAAAATTTTAGAACGTAGTGATGATTTTCCCAATAGAAAACTTGTCCACGATTTTACAGGACAACCCTCGTACATACATCAAATTACCAATTTATGGTGTTCATAATCATAATATGAGCCTTCATGTAGGTAAATCTGCATCATGTATACTACAATTAATCAACTTTTTCTCAGTTCTATAACATATATATGTACTAGTTTTTTAAATACCAATTCCGTTTCGTATTAAGAAAATTTTATTTGAGAGTTTTTTTCTCTATACAGTGTATTTCTGTATTTCTCTCTCTCATACGAGAGTTTTCTAAACGCTTGCAGATATCGAGAGGATTTTTGGCAGGTGACTTTACCTTGATGAGTTATAGATGAAGTTTGCATTTCGTTCCGCTTCATTGATTTTTTGACGGAATTATGGCATTTTCAAGTTTTAACGGGAACCAGATTACACTTGGCGGTAGGGGACTAGTATTGCTTATGCAATACTCTCCAAATGCTTGTTAATTTTACTTTTTGTTTACACAAACATAGGTAAACAAAGCTTTATTTCGTATTGTTACAGTTACTGTTATAAACATTATTATTATTTTTTTTTATCAAAGTCTGTCTCTATCAGTTACTGTGTCATCATCTAAAAATAGATGCCGAATATTCCAATCTTACTTTAAAAAAAAATTCTCAATGATTAACTAAGGCACCAGGCATAATGAGTGACTTTTTTTTAAAACATAGGTAATCAGAGATTACGAAGATCACCTCGACGAATGTTATCTATAAGTAAGGCAAATCACGCATCATATTTTTTTTCTAATTAGTGTACATTCCAAGATCATGGTTTTAGTAGGACTTATAGTTACATGTACTTGGTAATAGACTTGCTCAAAAACTTTTAACCTCTTTACTAATCAAGAAAATTGTGGTCAGTTCCAATATCCAAAGCAAGTCTGGAAGTTTTCATCCTTAGATGCACCATCTATGCAAGTTTAATCATAACAGGCGAAAATTTTACATGCTACTCCAAAAACATTACCCTGGTCACTCATCTGGAAAATGAAGGTCAGATTCAAAATTCAAAGCAAGTCTGGAAGTGTCCATCCTTAGATACATCATCGTCCGTCCATGCTAATTTGGTTAAAATATGGCTAAAATTCACTCATGTGGAAAACCTATATCAGATCCAGCATCTGAAGAAGGTTGGTTAGCGTCTATCCCTAGATCCATCATCCATGCAAGTTTGGTCCAGGTAGGGCTTATAATTACTTGGGAATGGACTGTGCCAAGAAAAGGTAAGCATTCTAGCTGTAGAGCGAACTCAATAAAAGCCGAATTAGCGTTAATCTGTTATTTTTCCTCAGGGAGGTGTGCGCGAGGCAATTAATGTCAGCAGTTTTGAGGTAGGGATCTTAAGTTTTACTGGGTTTAAATTAAAAAAAAAATTTCCTATAGTATAAATTAACATCGGGTACGATGAATTTGGTTGTTGTGGAAGTACCGTGTCGTATTATGGTATCAAATCGGTAATTGACCAACGAAAATGAACTTAGTCAATTGTAGTTCCATACATATAATTTTTTTTTCTTTTGTAATTTTTTTTAAATTTCTTTCCAGTCTATTTTTACAATTTTAACACCTGTGCCCGGGGCATTTTACGTACTTTGAAAATAAATAAAGTTTTTTGACAGGACCTTTTTTCAGGGCATAGGAGACTACTTCCTGGGGTAGAAGTTTATTTTTCTTTAACTAAGAAAACTGAAAACTTAGGATCCCCCCCCCTCAAATCTGCTGCCGTTGTCTTGCCAGCGTTAGGGGAATATGGGTGATCTGCATCAATTACACTTTTATTGACTTCATCACTGTGGAAAACTGGACGGGATTTCTTGGCATGACCTGCTCTAAAATCTTAAATCTGGTCACTCATCTGGAAAACCTAGGTCAGATCCAGCATCCGAAGCAAGTGTGGTAGTGTCCATCCCTAGATGCATCATTCATGCAAGTTTGGTCCAGGTAGGGCTTATAGTTACTTGGGAATGGACTTGCTCCTAAAACTTTAACCGGGACGCCGACGCTAACGCCGACGTCGGGGGTATAGCATAAGCTCATCTCGACTTTGTCGAGGTGAGCTAAAAAAAATCGCACCTTATTCAATTTGAGGACACCATTTCAGAGAACTATCCACCCAGAAAATCCTTAAAGAAAAGCACATCATTACATAGTAACTCGTCAGAATTCTTACTTTTCAAGATCTGTACTCAATTTATGGCAAGCTTTGGTCACCATACCTATGTTTACATTTATATATTTTGAAAAATGAACTTACTTCGTCTAACTAACCACTATATAGCATTGTTCAGAGGCTTTTTCTCAGATAATTCATTTTTATACCAAAAAAACATCCATTCAAAGGGTTAAAAAATATGTATTCACAACAAGTTAACTCACTCTCTGTTTTGCCGCTTGATTCAAACGTTAATTTATCTTCATGCAAAGTCACTTTGGTCTGCAAACCATCCACAATCAAATCGTACCCCATCTTTCATCGGTATTATTTCTTAAAGCGTATGAAATCGGGAATAAAGGTCAAAGCCCAACATAAAATTTTATGTCCTAAATTGACATCACTCTTCATAATATAGCTGGCTGTTTGTGACATCTCAAATAAAAACAAACTACACTATGTTTCAGCGTCAGTATTTATTTATGTCTTCATCGATTTTTCATATACATGTATGTGTACGTACAGTATAAAATGCAGTTTTACAAGAGACATAAATAACAATAATAATTGTTTTTTCACAGATATGTTTGTATTTTTTCTCATTGCAATGCTTGATGTACAATCATTTTTTTTTTCAAAGAAATGCTCTGGTCAGCTTTGTCGTGTAATATTAACATTTATTGATTTACTAAATCATATTTTTAATCTGGAAAAAATGTATATGTATCAAGCATGTCAAGCGCATGTAAATGCTTTGAGACATTTAACATGTCCATCAATGGACGCTTTTTCATGCACTTGATATTTACTAGGAATGGGGAGTATAATTTATTGGGGGGGGGGGGGTGAAAAAAAATAATTATGTATATAAAGTCATGTCTGTGTTAGTACATTTTGACACGATAAATACTCCTAATTATTTAAGAAATAACTAGGTCTTTTGGGGGCTATTGGTTATATATACATGTAATTGAAGCCCGTAAAAACTTTTTTAAATATAAATGGCTTTGCCAGTGTTAATTACCATGTGCTCCAAGGCACTGACCTACCCTCATTAACAAAAAAAAATTATTTCTAAATTACTATACCCACTCTTAAAATCAAGGGAAAAAACTTTTATCATATGTTATCCTCATCAGACGCTTATCATATTGTCACCGCTTCTATTTGTATCTAGTTTAACTGGTCCTGTAGATGTGTAATAAAGTTTTGAAATTCCGATGTTGACACCAAAAGTCTTTTCGATACCAAAAGTCTAAAGAAGCGTGGTTCAAATTGTTACGGGCCATTTTCGGTAATAAGACTTATCACTGCACTTGTGATGTGACGTCATCATTTTTGGGGCACAGTATTTTTTGTGTAGAGCCCGTGATATTATGACAGGACGCGGCAGGCCGCAGGGCTAGGTGCCTGCAGTATTTATTATTAGTTTACTAGTTTTCCAGTCATCTTTGTACTGATACAACTGATAAATATATAACTGGAGGAAACTTCTGAATTGGTGAGTATTACATTGTTAATCGTTTTGCTGTATATAATGTGCATTTGTATCCTCGAGGAACCTATTTCGGTGGTATTAGCAAACTACGTGATAAAATAATCTTAACGAGATCGATTAAAATAAAATAAATGTGACCTACCTCTGAAGGACTCTTTATTTGATCAAATTATATCCATATTATCTAATAAAAAAACTGAATTATTTTTTTCTCGCGATTTCTTTATTCCTTGCCGTTTACGTAAGCAGAAATGTTGAGGTACCTAAATCGGTGGTATGGTACTTGTCAAAAGTTTTTACCCTAATAACACCAACCAAAGGCATAAATTTATGTATAACGAATATTAATTTGTATAAATGAACAAAGGGATAAATTACAATTTTATAAAGTTTTATTTATTATTATGGCAGGGACAGATAAATTCGTCACCCCGTCTAATTACTTTAGTTGCGCAGCAAAACTGCAAGTGGGTCCAGTGGTCGCATTTTTCAAAGCTACACTGAGCCCACTTCACAAAAACAACTAAGTCGCAGTCCTTTATCTCCTCTGGCCAAAAGTGTTTACAAACACAGCACTTCTCTTTTTCATCTTCTGTGTCATCGGCATCAGAGGATTCAGGCTGTTCAGACACACCCTGTTTTCTTTTCTTTCTGCATAAATCCTTACATGTAGAAGTCGTTTTTTCTTTTCTTTTTGATGTTTGTTTTGTTGTAGAATAATTTTTTATTTCTTGCAAAACACTGTCCTCTGTAATTGGTTTACCACTTACAACTTTGCTAATGTTTCTTTTTTCAGTTAGAACAGATTTTGTTTTGTTGAAAATTGGGTTTGTATGTAGTTTAAAGAAGGATTTGGGATCAGAGGTGCTTGGAATTGCTTGAGTTGAAGAACTTGCATCTTGGTCTGGACATTGTTCTGCTGCGGAAAAAACTACAGAAGGAGCAAAATTGGAAGGGTCCACTGCATTTTTATCGAATGGGAAAATTCCAGTGCGTCGAAATGAGGACTGCAAATTTCCTTGTGAAAGAGCATGTGCATACGCTTTACAAGCTAATGAGCAAATATTATATCTTGTAATTTTTGAAGATGGATTTTCACGTAAAAATTTATGGCACTCGGCATTATAGATTTTTTGAAATGGGCCAAAACATCCAAGGTCTAGAGGTTGAAGAACATGGCTTGTATGGGCAGGCAGAACAAATAAAACAATATTATGTTGCTTTGCCCAGTCAACAAGCGTGAGGTTAATGTGTGATTTGTGTCCGTCGTAAAGAATTAGGATAGGTTGGTTTTCATTCGGTCTTTGGACATATTTAAGAAAATGTTCAGATAAATAAGTCTGAAAGACTTCAGAGTTCGACCAACCACTGTCTGTTACTGTGCCTTGAGCACCCTCCGATGCACCTACCATCAATTCCTGTCTCATTCGAGCCCCTTGGAAAACGAAATACGGAGGCATCTGTGTACCTAAAGCATTGCCACAACCTATGACAGTTACTGTAGAAGATCTGGCAGATGTTATAGCAGGTGTTGTTGACATCTTAGAACCCACAATGCAGGGTGGTCTGTGTTCTGTTTGTAACCCCTTTTCATCAATGTTGTATATGCACTGAGGTTTATCGACTAGGTCGTACTTCTTAAGAATGGTGTCTAATTCTCGATAGTAATTTGACACTACTTCTTCAGAGGTTGACTTTGCCCTGGCAGCTGACAACGCGCGAGGCTTTGAAACATTCAGTTCTGGCCACCGCATCATAAAGCCTTTGAACCACTTCATTGAAAATGGATGATTTCTGTCACGTTTCTGCAAACTGCAGGCATATTCTGAGGCCATGTTTACTACTTCTGATCTAGTGTAGCCATAGCCACAACTAGCCATAACCTTTAAATGGTCAACAAATGCAGCTTCTTCCTCTAGCGAAAGAACAGGAGAAACTCCAGACGTTAGTTTCTCAGGGTCAACTCTCCCCAATGCTCTTTGTCGAAGTGTGGTTTCCGGAACACAGTAAACCCTAGCTGCTTTCCATACAGACATCCGATGCTCCTTAATAGCATGATAAGCATTTGTCATGGATGTAGGGGAGTATGGTCTGTACTTTCTTGTTATTTTATCTGATGCAACCTATAAAAAAATTATTTATTTACTATTAATTTTTTTTTTATTATTTATTATTTATTTATTTACTAGTATTTATTTATTTATTTTATTTTATCTACATGATACTATATACTTTTAATAGTTTTCTTTAGATTTCAGAACTAATTTCTATGTAATTGTTTAATTACTAACTATTTACCAACAACATAATATAAACCATATCTTTGTCAAAACACTCAAAAACATATAACAGACACTGACTTTTGGACGTACCCTGTATTTCTACTTAATTATAATAACCACATGACAGTCACGTGACTTGAAAGCGCAGACGGTAAGCTGCGTCTGGAGTTCGTATTTTCATAAAATATTTCTTAAAAGTCTATATTTAGAAGGCAATTACATTTGGATATTTTTAGCATTAAGAAAATATGGTATTTTATGTAGATATGACAATAACAGCTATTTACTTACACTTTTCTCTGACATTTCGAGTTTTTTTTTCACTGAGTCATAAGCTTCCGTGTTTACAAACACTACGCAAAAATCGATGACGTCAGATCTCGCACTATAAGAAAACGCGCGTGCCCAACGGGAAATACCACCGATTTAGGAACCCCACCGATTTAGGACCCTCGACGATATATCTCGATAAATTTTGCATATTTATTAATATCAGTATAAAGTTATTGTTTAAAGTATCTGTGCACTTATACTCAAGTTTATTATTTATAAAGCATTAGTATGTTAGGAAATTAGGTACGTTATTGACATACATGTGATATCGCTGGATATGTGCACATTTATTATGTACGGGAGATAACTCCATTTGCGCCATGTTTTCCTATCACGATCTGTTTTAATCAAGAGTTATGCCACTTTGTTTTCATTTTGTCAACAATCTTATGTATTGAATCTGCAGAGGCTATTATTTTCTAGTATATGTAATACATCAGAATTAATTTGCTAGGATGTGTTATCATGTGTGATTTATTTGAATTATCTTGTATTCATAATATTTTTTCTTTGTATTTTTTGTAGTAAATCGTCACTTGTCTCGTCAATTGTCATTCAACGTTAATTGTCTCGTCATATACGTCAATAGTCACAGTACGTTTCCTTACTTTCCTTAGCCAGTACACAAATATTAAACTTGTCACTGAAACAACTCCTGCATTTTAACTGGTATCAAAATTCCAAATAATTGGCCATGACACGTTATTGTGCAATAATGTTTCAGAGCTTTTATCTCTACCCCAGGGTTTTCCAGAGGCTCAAAAGAGCGCTTCCCTATGAAATTTTATTATGACAAAGAACTCTGAATACTTTAGGTTTTAAGCTTTTTATTCTAACTGCAAAAGATAACTGGTGGTAAGGTTGCAGTTGTTCAGAAGTAATTCGCATGATGCAAACAACACATGTGATTAAGTCAAGTTAAATCTTTTAGCAGATTAAATCTAAAATTAAATACATACTACATATATTTAATATACATATGTCCTTAAAATTACATGGATGATGACAACAAGTTTGCTTACAATAATACTAATGATTCAGTATTCACACGTGAGATACATTTTGCTGGATGATTGATCAATAATTTTATTTCAGCAAGGCCATTCCCAAGAATACGTACCAGGTCCTACCTAGACCATTTATACAAACATGCTGCGGCTTAGGGTTTTACAATTACAAGTCATGCTTTGAGTTCTGTATAATTGATATTTTCTGGATGAATGAACAGGCAGATGTTCACTGAGTATTGACAAAACTTACATAGATATAACCTCTGGAAATGCAAAACAGTTGGTTGTTATGCTGCGTATGACCTTCCAAGCGTGTGACCAGGTTAAAATTTTCAAAGAAAAAGAGAGGCTAGTGTGGGGGGATGTGATGGATTAACCATTTGTGTTGATTAGCCTGCATGGTGAGAGAGACAAATGGAAGTGAACTAGCACTGGCAAATACAGGCAAGTAAATAGATTATTTTATTATTACTTTATGATTTGTTACTGAGTACTTGAACTTTTTGTTGATCTCCGATCATCCTATTCATTTTGCTTTTGAGCAACATATCTTATACTTCTATGGATCCTTTACAGTGTGGTATTACATGCATTCTTAGGTGACCGTTCAGGGCCTTGAGTCTCTTGTCTTTAAAGGAATCGAGTAAAGTTTCCTGCTTATCAAAAGAACTTGGTCTAGCCTCTCCAGTCTAAATATTTGTACCCAGTTTTATATATACGGTTAACTTTGAGGCAAAGAGATAAATTAATAAGAATCAATTTCTTATTTTTAGCATTTTACGATGCTATAAATAATATGCGGTATCTTATTCAATTTGTTTGCATTGTGTTATCAATCACATTGTGAGCAGTGTGTTATCAATCAATCACAAAATGCAATAAAACCTCTAGTTTGTTCTGCATGTGAAAAAGCTCTCTATGGATGTTTATTTCACAGATAACTGGAAAAGATTTGTACAACGTCCAATTTGTACCTGAAAAAAAAAATTAATCGGGGAAATATCAAATCATAAAAAAAAAATGAAATTTGGAAAAACACTAAGAATTCCTGAAAATCATATTTCAGGTTTAATGGTATATAATTACATTTAAATTTTTAATCATTTTTTTTTAAATTAAAAACTAAGCCTTTGCCGCAGATATAAATCAAAGATATAATTTTGATACTAGATTTTACAAAAAAGATAAACCTAGCCATCATAAATGGCATGGAAAAGAAGCTAAAGGTTTTCGACGCTCTTTTAATTAATTCCATGTATAAATAAATATACTGTATTGTGATATCAAGAAAAATAGCCTGTTTGATAGGTTTCTCATAATCTGATCGAACGTTTATGCCTTGATTTATTTAAATTAGCTTAAGGAATCAATCTCTCTCTACCATAACTGAAATGAAGGAGATTCCAGTTGATACATCTCCCCATCTAGATGTATAAGACGCTTCAACGTCGCCATTTCTGGATCCTTGCTATGAAGACTGTCCCTTAGTTCCACTGTGAGCCCCAGGACATTCAGAACCTCCAACTCCTTGTCCGAGAATTCCTTTAAAAGTACCGATATTTGTGCAATGCTTTGGCTAATTTTTTTCTACATGGAGGGGATTCATTAAAATAAAATTAATTACATTGCATTGAATGTAAATTTATTGTCTTAATTGCTGAATGCTGAGCTGTTTATGACGTTAACAATTTGTTCAAAGCTGGAAGCTCAGCATTTCCGGCTTACCATGGGAGTCCTGTTACCGATGTGTTTGAAGAATTTGTTCATGACTCCAGCTGATACATCGCCATAGAAAAGAAAGGAGGAGCACATGGTGGGTTTGGGGACAAACGCTCTGGGTACATCAAACACAACTTTACCATCAAAGATGAAGTTACCATTCACGGTCATTATGTTCCACAACATGCGATTGAAGGTCACTGTTAAAAGTTGTTCCTTAGTAAGAAATAGAGGCTCAATATGGTGATGTTTAAAGCACTGTCCTTTAGAAACTGAGAATTTTATTATGCAATATTTTTGCATAACAAATGAATAATAACCAAAGAATAATTATATTTTAAATTACTAAAGTACAGAATTGTTATTTTCTTCATCTATCCGAGAATACTTCATTGAAATGATTTAATGACCGATAAAACAAGAGAGCCCAATTCTTCAGTTATAGTATAAAATCTTATGAAATAAGATTTACCTGTATCAGAGGTATAAGAACTATATCCTGACAGCCTTTTGTCTTCAACAAATATCTCGGTCTCACTGGTTTCTTTGTTATTTTGTTCATTGACTCTGATTTGTAAAATACATAGCTAAAACTTTGATAAACAAATAACAGATACCAAACAGGTATATCAGAAATATAAGTGGCTTAAAAAAATAGATACTATACTCAGATAAATTAATGATTTAAAAATGTTTGCATCATATTCACAACTTTTATATTTCAGCTTGAAATACGGCAATACCTAACTAATCTATACCTCTCTTACCTGTAATACGGTTCTATCAGAGTGATTTACAGATTCCTGAAAAGGAATGGGGATGAGTTTTCTTGGATACATTCCTTGTTAAATGTACAATTAGAGCAACGAGTTACTACAATGAATGTCTCATATTTACGCTATCATGTTAAGAAAGTACGCTATTCCTAAGCGGAAGCTTGTCTATATGGACTGTAATCTCTCATCACAGAATCATTTGAGTACTTGTACGTAAACAAATGACTGGGATTACTTTATAAAATAACTTGCTTATCTATTTGCCATAATAGAACGTCAACATTTAGCCAATTCTATGGTCGATACAAGGAATACAACCTATTGTAAAGTCGAATGTTGACTGACTTTTTTCATACAAATGGATATGCCATTATTTTTCATACAAATGATTATGCCATTATTTTCACGCTGAATTGTCTACGGATTTTTCCATTTGTCCGATCATGACGAGGAGCATGGCGGGTTTGACCGGTCGACAGGGCATGCTTACTCCTCCAAGGCACCTGATCCCACCTCTCGTTTTCAGAGGTCCGCGTTTCCTCTGCTCCCAAATTTGTATTCTTCCAAGGACTTTTGAGCTTAATTATTGTTCGTTATATTCATATTTCACTTCATAGAACGTCCAGTAAATGATTATTTTGATGACATACTACTAATGTTCTACTGCACATCAATCTCTTAGATCAATCAAGATTCTAACCCTTTTCCATCTCACTCCTCAGTAATACTCAGTAATTTTAGTGTAAAATCCAACATACTTACGATGTATAATAGGTGACAGTGGCATCAAAATTTCGATTTGTCTGAGATTTGAATAAAAACATCCATATTGGAACAACTACAAAAATACCATTTCAACGATTAAAAAATCCCATGAGATACTACTCAGAATAAGAATTTTTTTTCATTAAGAGAATGATGAAATGAGATATACTAGTAGATGTTCTTTTTACATACAGAAGTATCGTGATCGACCAAGCCAGCGGAACTTCGTGTCAGAGTAGTATAAGAGATCTGTCATGACTCCATAACCACAGTCTGTTCCACCAAATCCCAGGAGTTTTCTGTTGTTGTAGAGTGCTAGCAGGTGAGATGACACGGTCCTCCCTGTACGCACATTATTAAGAAATTGTCAAAACTGTTCAGATACCTACATGTAACACATCAACAAAAGCAAACTTCGTCGCATTTGGTTTACATATATCTAATCATCGCTTCAAGTTTAGGACTGCACTTGCAAGAATATACTAAATCTGCTGTTTATTTGCCGAGCCTTACCTTTAATAACATGGAGAACAGCCGTTAGAACATTGGTGTTTCCAGTGTTACATTCTGTCACTCCACAAGCAGTTCCTAATGACACATAAAGAACATTTTTTATATTATGAATGGTAAACATACTCAGTGACATTTTAATCACTAAAGAAAAAAACAAATTTACCAGTTGGTATCATGGCTATGGGAATGTTCAACGCCGAAAGGGTTGCATTTTGATCATTAATATCCATGCCTTGTTCCTCTTGTCTCCTTCTCATTAATTCGTTGACCACCTCATGATACGACCCATCTCCTCCAAGTATAACTATTCTATAGTCAATACATAGAGCAACTTATTCATATGAATGTCAACGTCAACTAGTTTATATGGTATATGTTTTTATTCACATGTATATATGTACGAGAAAGTTTGTTTCTTGTATGCATATTGAATAAAATATATTGAATCAATACCCATCAGTATTACAAAATTCATAAGTTTTTGCAACATCAGTCATATGCCCAGACCGCTCAGTAACTGAAATAGTGAGAAAAATGCATCAAGGTTTTGATGGAATATTCACTGTCATTGATGTTGAAATATTCAATTAATGTTTACTAGAAAGAGGGTCATACTCACAAATTATATCCATAGATATTCCTGAAAGTCTCAAAACTGGCTCTACGATATCCCTGAAATCCTTTTTTGCTGTACCATTGCCACCTTTAGGGTTAATCATCACCAATACTCTTTTGGGACGTTTTGTTTCTGCAAGACCCGAAAGTACTTAAAAGACAAATCTACTTAGATTGATCATGTAGCTACTGATCTTCACCAATAATAAGTCAGTGTGCATAATCAGCACAGTGCATATATTTTGAATATTTATTAAAATTCTGTTACCTTACTTTTAGAGTTTTTTTCCCCGGAATATACGTACTAACTTACTATTTGTTATTTTTTCTGTCAAATCGTGTTGAAATCGTTTCCTTTGGTCTCCAGAAACTATTTTGCACTTTTTTAGCAGCAAGTTTGAATGACCATGTTCGATGACCCACAATCGGGTTACTTCGGTCTTGTAAAACCATCCCATCACTACCTCATCACATCCTATGATGTCATCTAACTGGTAACTGACTGAAGATAATAAAAATAGCATAACGAGCATCAATGTTTAATGAGTTAATACTATATATTCTTTGCATGTTTATTTATATGTCTTTTTATTAAGTTTCTTTATGACACAAGTCTCAAACTTTCAAAACTCGCTGAATTTTAAAATGCTGTTTCGATATGCATCTTACAAGGTTCATCAGTCTCATAATCTTTCTAGTAGTGTAACATGCTTTGAAGAAATTGTATTTACACAGCTGCACTAAGTACTGATATGATAGTGATGGGTTCTCTGATTGGTCTGTATCATATAGCCTCGAAAAAATAAATGTTATTTGAGTTGACTCGCACGCCATATAAAAAGACAAAGCAAATAACGTTGCCAACCTTTCAATAGATTTTACTATTTTCTAAAATGTCCCTGTTTCCGACAAAAATCCTTCTCAATCCATGTGTATAAAACTTAAAAATGAATTTAAATTAGTAAACTTTGTAACCCCATCCAAACGCAAGCGCGCGCGAAAAAAATTCGTTGTCCTAAAAAAATTAGGCCTATTTTTTTTATTCAAAAATTTCAATAAAGAAAGCTAAAATTTTCCTTCGACAATCTTATGTTATTGAGGAAAAGCACTCCACATATTATTCTATTTTACTGCACACTTGGGTTTATGGCATGCATGGTTCACCATATACATTATGTGTTTACATGTATATTTTTAATTGAGAGAATGTGCATGGTGTAATAGATTTTTTTGGTTGCCATATTCATGTTATAGAAGTCATGCAATCCAGGTATATTATACATACAAATATCTATAAATTTTCCTAATAATAAACATTTTCAAAGTATAAATATCCATAAGACTTACGGTCTACGATGCCACTTGATTCAAAAGTTATTTTGTCTCCAGAGAGAGTCACTGTAGTCTGTGAACCATCCACAAGCAAATTATACACCATCGTTAACGGGAGGGGGTGTTAATGTTTGAAATCAGGAATAAGGGCCATGGACAGTCCACATGACCTCAATCGACATCCAACAGTGGCTGTCAGCTATCATCCGCAACTGTACTCGGCAATGCTGGTACCGGACATCCATGACTGTACCTGCTCACTAATATCAAAAACGGAATGTCAGAGCAAGATTTTCCGGATTGTTCAACGTATTAAACTATATGTTGTTAATTAAGTATGGATTGTTTTTTTTAATGAAACATACGAAATGTGTTAATAATTAATCTACTTTATGGAAGGCTGTAATCGCCAAAACGGTAACGATAACTAGCTTAGTGAATATATCGCGGAAAATATATGTGTAAGCTTGACTATGCCTAAATCCATATTGCATAGATCGCTATTATCTCTAAAAAGTAACATTTACTACAGCGTACATTTTGTATATCTATGACTGTATACCTGTGCCTGATATACAACATCTGCGACTGTACCTGTGCCGTACATACACACTACCACTGACTCAACCCGCGCTTGATTAACTTAACCCGCGCTTGATTAATAACATCCACACAAAAAAATTCTGTGGATTTTCTCCGATTTAGATTTAGACTGAATTCAATCAAAGCGCAATTAACGCTAATCTTTATATTACCCATGACAGTGATACCGAGACAAACGATGTCAGCAGTGATTAGGGAAGGATCCAAAACTTTTACAGATTTAAATTTAAAGCTTTATGTTCAGAGTACAATATGAGCCAGGTCTTTATTTATTTTTTTTTTTTTTGGGGGGGGGGGGGGACTGGGGGCATGATTTCAATATCCTACGTGCTCAATAACAATGATGAATTTAAAATGAAACATGCTAGTATAATTATAGAAAATATCCGAGTAAACAATAAACAAAGTAAAATAAAAAAGGAAATTAAAATAAATATTGGAATTAATTTGTAATCCTCAATTTTATGTTAGAAAGTATAAGTACGTCACAATATTATTAATTTCACCCTTTTCATTGAACACGCAAGAGGTGTCAATGAAAAGCACAGGTTTTTTTCCCATAAATATATGTCTTACGATATATACGGGTGGAATGGGCTAATCCACCCGTTTTCAATGTGTTATATATATAAACATCTCAAGTGCACCCCAGGAAGTAGCTCCTATATGCCCTGAAAAAGAATAGTTCCTGACAAAAAACCTTTATTTATTTACAAAGTACATGAAATTTACTAGGCACAGGTATCAAAGTTGTAAAAATAGGCTGGAAGACCCCCCCCCCCACCCCCCAAAAAAAATCTCAAAAGAAATAAAAATTAATTTTATATGCATGAAACAATTAACATCTTGACTGGTCGATAACCGTGGTGTGATACCTGGAATACGTAGGGTATGGTATTAAAATGATTGCTCATATTAAAGGAAATTAATGCTATATTTATCGATAACATCCGAAGAAAATATTTGTATAAGTAAATATTTTTATTAGATCCACCTCTCTAAGATTCTGCTGTACTGTCCAGACAACTCTAGAAATTTTACACCATGACTGTACCGGTGCCTGATTGACAACATCCACGACTGTATCTGTCCAGTACACACACTTTATTCTACATCCCTGACTGTACCAGTGCTTATAAACAACATCCATGACTGTACCTGTGCCTTATAAACAACATCCCTGACGGTACCTGTGCCTTATAAACAACATCCCTGACTGTACCAGTGCCTTATAAACAACATCCCTGACTGTACCTGTGCCTTATAAACAACATCCCTGACTGTACCTGTGCCTTATAAACAACATCCCTGACTGTACCTGTGCCTTATAAACAACATCCCTGACTGTACCTGTGCCTTATAAACAACATCCCTGACTGTACCTGTGCCTTATAAACAACATCCCTGACTGTACCTGTGCCTTATAAACAATATCCCTGACTGTACCTGTCCAGTACACACACTTTATTCTACATCCATGACTGTACCTGTGCCTTATAAACAACATCCATGACTGTACCTGTCCAGTACACACACTTTATTCTACATCCCTGACTGTACCTGTGCTTATAAACAACATCCACGACTGTACCTGTCCAGTACACACACTTTATTCTACATCCATGAGTGTACCTGTGTTTATAAACAACATCCCTGACTGTACCTGTCCAGTATACACACTTTATTCTACATCCCTGACTGTACCTGTGCCTTATAAACAACATCCACGACTGTACCTGTCCAGTACACACACTTTATTCTACATCCCTGACTGTACCTGTGCTTATAAACAACATCCACGACTGTACCTGTCCAGTATACACACTTTATTCTACATCCCTGACTGTACCTGTGCCTTATAAACAACATCCATGACTGTACCTGTCCAGTACACACACTTTATTCTACATCCATGAGTGTACCTGTGTTTATAAACAACATCCCTGACTGTACCTGTCCAGTATACACATCTTTCTCTACATCCATGACTGTACCTGTGCCTTATAAACAACATCCACGACTGTACCTGTTCAGTACACACACTTTATTCTACATCCCTGACTGTACCTGTGCTTATAAACAACATCCACTACTGTACCTGTCCAGTACACACACTTTATTCTACATCCCTGACTGTACCTGTGCCTTACAAACAACATCCACGACTGTACCTGTTGGGTATTCACACTTTATTCTACATGTATCTTTGCGTGTATCTTTGCTGATGACTGTATCTTTGCGTTATTAACAACATCCAAGAAAAGTTACTCAAGGCCCTACTAAAAGTTTGTTCTTTTGTTGTTTTTGACCCGAACCCCCACCCCGTCAAAAGAAATAGAATCATATGCGTGGGATTTAGACTTTTGTTTTTAAGAGGAAATACCCTTTCTTTCGATATACTCCATCCTCGCCTTCACAACTTTTGCCAAGTTTTATTATTATTGTAGAAGAGTTTATAAGTAATGGATTAATTATTTTAAAACCAGTGTCAAAACGTTAACTGCTCTTATTTAAAACTCTTCTCATAAAAAGGGGGAAGGGTTAGACAATTTTATAAATTGAAATCGGGCTTTAAACATAACGAGTGAACCAGATTTTCAAATACTCATGGAAATGGATAAATAACCATCAAATCTCTACGTATGTTTAACTTATGTAAAAGTCAACTGACATATTAGATTCATTGGCAATAAAATGACTATTTTTGAGTTTTTAGTCTGTAAACATATGTTCTACACCCTCATCCACCCCAACCCCCCAACAACCCACTCCCCTGAAAAACAAACAATTGGTATAAATTTGAATTTGTGAAATAACAATTCATAATACTTGAAAAAGGAATTGTTGTTTCAGTGAGGGGGGATAAAAATATTTTCCGTTGATTTCTATAGAGATGAAGTTTTACCAAAATTATAGACTTATCTTTCTTTGTTTTCCCAAATAAGTTGTGTTTTTTGATGAAATTCACATAAATATTCGGTATATAAATCCGAAAAATCATTCCAATATGTTAACTTTCTAAATTAACTCTGCGATAGGTGGCAGAATTTTACTATCATTCTTGCTATCATATGGTTTATTCAAGCATGCGTATTAAAGCTATTAAGACAAGCCTTCTGCATTAGCAATACTAGTCCCCTACCGGCAAGTGTAATCTGGTTCCCAATAAAAATTGAAAATGCTGTAATTCTGTCAAAAAATCATTGAAGCGGAACATAATGCAAACTTGATCTGTAGCTCATTAAGATACATTCACATACCAAAAATCAACCCAATATCTGCAAACGTTTGGAAAAAAAGTGTGGAAAACCCTTAAAAATTAAAAAGGTTGTAATTCCCTCAAAAATCAATGAAGCGGAACGAAATTAAAAACTTGATCTGTAACTCATCAATACACACTTACATACCAAAATCAGCTTAATATCTGCAAGCGTTTAGAAAAAAGTGCGGAAAACCAAGTGGGAGAGAGTGACAGAGAGACAGAGGGACAGCTAGGCGGACAGACAGACAGACGGACGGACAGACTCAGAGGAAACCTATCATCCCCTCCGGTTTCAATTTATTTTATTCTTGATGAAAGGCCAGATTACTCTATTTGCATAAATGTACCACATAATCAGAACTCTTTAGTGTGCAGTGTATAGAGGGCTCTTAAGCACATAAAAAAAATTCCAACTTTTTCCTCATTTTCCCCTCCTGTTTATGTCATTTTTCATCATTGGGTTATTTTTTAATTCTTTTGAATGCCATTTAAACATTGAATTGTGAAGTGTAGATACATGTAGTATTACATGTACTGCAATAATTATTTTCAATAGGTCTTTCTTTGTCAACACGATAAGATGCACCATTTGATCCTAAAATGTTTTCAACTATTTTACACCTTCTGTGCCAATCCCAAAGTTGCGGGGTATTATTATCATAGTTTACAACTGATTATACGTCAATCTTATACGACAAATGTTTATTAAAATTAATAATAGTAATTGGCTATGAGTTGACTTATAGCTTTGAGTTTTCCACCTGTACACTGATGATTATTCGTGTCTCGAACTTGATTCTAATTGATTTTCAATTATAATTTGAAATAATTGTCAAATTTTAAGTGTCAAGGACACACTGAAAGATCAAAATTTGTGAGTAAAATAAATTTGTTTAAATATTGTACATGTTGTTTTTAAGGTAGGATGGTCCAAATACAGTATACAATACGTACCTCTTTCACCCTGAGAAGTTTATTGTGTGTAAATCTTGACTATAAGGCATAGGTACAGTGATAGATGTAGAATAAAGTGTGTATACATGCACAGGTACAGTCAGGGATGTTGTTTATAAGGCAATGTACAGTCATGGATGTAGAATAAAGTGTTTGTACTGGACAGGTACAGTCGTGGATGTTGTTTATAAGGCACAGGTACAGCCATGGATGTAGAGTAAGATGTGTATACTGCACAGGTACAGTCGTGGATGTTGTTTATAAGGCACAGGTACAATCATGGATGTAGAGTAAAATGTGTATACTGCACAGGTACAGTCGTGGATGTTGTTTATATGGCACAAGTACAGTCATGGATGTAGAATAAAGTGTGTCTTCTGGACAGGTACAGTCGTGTATGTTGT